CGACGGCCGTTTAAACGTTCCTACTGCCAAGACGACCCCTACTGCAGTTTAAACGTTCCTACGGCCGAGACGACCTCGACGGCCCTTTCAACGTTCCTGCGGTCGAGATGAGCTCAATGGACGTTCCTACTGCCGAGACGACCCCGACGACCCTTTCAACGTTCCTACGGCCAAGATGACCCCGGCGGCCGTTTAAACGTTCCTACTGCCGAGACGACCCCGGCTGCAGTTTAAACGTTCCTACTGCCGAGACGAACCAACGGTTGTTTAAACGTTCCTACTGCAGAGAAACATTCCTACGGACGGCCGTTTAAATGTTCCTACTGCCGAGATGACCTCGACAGCCGTTTAAGCGTTTGTACGGACGGCCGTTTAAACGTTCCTACTGCCGAGACGATCCAACGGGTGTTTAAACGTTCCTACAGCCGAGACGACCTCGACAGCCGTTTAAACGTTCCTACTGCCGAGACGACCTCGACTGCCGTTTAAACGTTCCTACTGCCGAGACGACCCCGACAGCCGTTTAAACGTTCCTACTGCCGAGACGACCTCGACTGCCGTTTAAACGTTCCTACTGCCGAGACGACCCCGACAGCCGTTTAAACATTCCTACTGCCGAGACGACCTCGACTGCCGTTTAAACGTTCCTACTGCCGAGACGACCCCGGCTGCAGTTTAAACGTTCCTACTGCCGAGACGACCCAACAGGCGTTTAAACGTTCCTACTGCCGAGACGACCTCGACTGCCGTTTAAACGTTCCTACTGCAAAGATGACCCAACAGGCATTTAAATGTTCCTACTGCCGAGAAGACCCAACGGACGTTTAAACGTTCCTACTGCTGAGACGACCCAACAGGCATTTAAATGTTCCTACTGCCGAGAAGACCCAACGGACGTTTAAATGTTCCTACTGCTGAGACGACCCAACAGGCATTTAAACATTCCTACTGCCGAGAAGACCCAACGGATGTTTAAACGTTCCTACTGCCGAGACGACCTTGACAGCCGTTTAAACGTTCCTACTGCCGAGACGACCCAAGGGGCGTTTAAACGTTCCTACTGCCGAGACGACCCAACAGGCGTTTAAATGTTCCTACTGCTGAGACGACCCCGACGGGCGTTTAAACGTTCCTACTGCTGAGACGACCTCGACTGCCTTTTAAACGTTCCTACTGCTGAGACGACCCAACAGCCGTTTAAACGTTCCTACTGCAGAGACGACCCCGACGGCTGTTTAAACGTTCCTACTGCCGAGACGACCCCTACTGCAGTTTAAACGTTCCTACTGCCGAGACGACCCCTACTGCAGTTTAAACGTTCCTACTGCTGAGACGACCGCGACGGCTGTTTAAACGTTCCTACTGCCGAGACGACCCCTACTGCAGTTTAAACGTTCCTACAGCCGAGACGACCCCTACTGCAGTTTAAACGTTCCTACTGCCGAGACGACCCCTACTGCAGTTTAAATGTTCCTACTGCCGAGACGACCCCTACTGCAGTTTAAACGTTCCTACTGCTGAGACGACCCCGACGGCTGTTTAAACGTTCCTACTGCCGAGACGACCGCGACGGCTGTTTAAACGTTCCTACTGCCGAGACGACCCCTACTGCAGTTTAAACGTTCCTACAGCCGAGACGACCCCGACGGCTGTTTAAACGTTCCTACTGCCGAGACGAACCAACGGTTGTTTAAACGTTCCTACTGCAGAGAAACATTCCTACGGACGGCCGTTTAAATGTTCCTACTGCCGAGATGACCTCGACAGCCGTTTAAGCGTTTGTACGGACGGCCATTTAAACGTTCCTACTGCCGAGACGATCCAACGGGTGTTTAAACGTTCCTACAGCTGAGACGACCTCGACAGCCGTTTAAACGTTCCTACTGCCGAGACGACCTCGACTGCCGTTTAAACGTTCCTACTGCCGAGACGACCCCGACAGCCGTTTAAACGTTCCTACTGCCGAGACGACCCCGACAGCCGTTTAAACGTTCCTACTGCCGAGACGACCTCGACTGCCGTTTAAACGTTCCTACTGCCGAGACGACCCAACAGGCGTTTAAACGTTCCTACTGCCGAGACGACCTCGACTGCCGTTTAAACGTTCCTACTGCAAAGATGACCCAACAGGCATTTAAATGTTCCTACTGCCGAGAAGACCCAACGGACGTTTAAACGTTCCTACTGCTGAGACGACCCAACAGGCACTTAAATGTTCCTACTGCCGAGAAGACCCAACGGATGTTTAAACGTTCCTACTGCCGAGACGACCTTGACAGCCGTTTAAACGTTCCTACTGCCGAGACGACCCAAGGGGCGTTTAAACGTTCCTACTGCCGAGACGACCCAACAGGCGTTTAAACGTTCCTACTGCCGAGACGACCTCGACTGCCGTTTAAACGTTCCTACTGCAAAGATGACCCAACAGGCATTTAAATGTTCCTACTGCCGAGAAGACCCAACGGACGTTTAAACGTTCCTACTGCTGAGACGACCCAACAGGCACTTAAATGTTCCTACTGCCGAGAAGACCCAACGGATGTTTAAACGTTCCTACTGCCGAGACGACCTTGACAGCCGTTTAAACGTTCCTACTGCCGAGACGACCCAAGGGGCGTTTAAACGTTCCTACTGCCGAGACGACCCAACAGGCGTTTAAATGTTCCTACTGCTGAGACGACCCCGACGGGCGTTTAAACGTTCCTACTGCTGAGACGACCTCGACTGCCTTTTAAACGTTCCTACTGCTGAGACGAACCAACAGGCGTTTAAATGTTCCTACTGCTGAGACGACTCTGACGGGCGTTTAAACGTTCCTACTGCTGAGACGACCTCGACTGCCTTTTAAACGTTCCTACTGCTGAGACGACCCAACGGGCGTTTAAACGTTCCTACTGCTGAGACGACCCCGACGGGCGTTTAAACGTTCCTACTGCCGAGACGACCCCGACGGGCGTTAAATGTTGGAATAGGACGCGGGGTTAATGTTCGTTTCCCCAGAGGCTCCTCGTCAGTCATTCCTTCAGAGGTGAAAGAGTGACTGTGTCAAACTAGAGATAGTATGAGATTAATGAAGTCAGCAGTTTTAACACAGATACCAAACTGATGTATTGATTAATGATCCAGGTTTCTGCATTCATCACATTATGGCTGGAGGCTGGTGAGGAGGAGATCCTCCCTGATGGCTGCTGTACTGCAGACTGTCCACCTCTCTCTCAATTCAGTTCAGCTTTATTGGCATGAATGTCAAACAACAATATTACAAAAGCTTTAGATACGATGCAAATGTATTATATTATAATGCTGTCTCTCTCTACCTGTCTCTCTCTCTCTCTCTACCTGTCTGTCTGACGCAAACTGCGTCACGCTGCGCAGATAGCGGGTCTCCCCTCTGCTTCCTGCGTGGAGGCTGCAGCTCTTCCTCCCACTGACTCATCTAACATGTCACATCATCATCACTGCGGGTCACATGATCACCTGTCCACTGCTCTTTATTACATGTGAAACAGACCTTGAGACTCCTGCGGATCGGCCTCTCTATGAAGGCGAGTTCCTGCAGCTCCTCCAGCTGTCCGTACAGGAGGCTGGGCTGGCTCAGACTCATCCTGCCGGAGAACATCACCGGGTTCTGGTTCTTAGTGGGAGAGCAGGCGGGTCTCGGTACCGACCATCCCTGATGGGGGGGGGGGGTTACTGTTACTAACCGTTTCCAAGGAGACTCCTGCTCAATCTGTCCGGGCGGAGGGAACGTCACGCCAGATTCCTTTCAGATTTGAATATTCTAAAAGATCTTCGCTCACCTCTGAATGAAGCAATGAGTCAGAGATTCAAAGTGAAACACTTCGCACATCAGCACCCTCTATTCTTCTGTTCGGCGCCCTCAGAGCTGCCCCCCTTTCTGAGGAACATCTGTTGAATAGAATAATCTGATCCCAGCACTTCGCAGCCCGCCGCTGCCCATCAGCCAAACCCGCTCTCTCCTACGCGGCGGACGACACGTTACGCCAAACTCCGTTAAGAAATGTGCCGTTTTAACGATTGTTTCCCCAGTAGTGAAGATAGGAGTCGGTTAAAGCTTTAAACTGAAGGTTATCGGAAGACTTTTCATTTCGGCGGATCTTCACCTGCCTGTAACCGACAGCACGTACAGATATATCCTGTAAAACTCCCGTCCGGTCCCGAAGCTACGTCAAACCAGATCCCGTTCACATCTCGCACTGCAGACTCTCTTCACTGTTAAACATCAGTCCTTTAACAAATGGACCCCCCTCCTCTTCACTTCGGTGTACAAAAAGCCCAGCAACAAACAGTCACTGAAATAAAATCCCGACCTGATCCGTGCCGTGCCGTGCTGTGCGGCAGGAACGTCACACCGAACTGCGCTATGCGTCTGTGCTCATTTGGGAACCTTGTAAATCCGTAAGACCTTAAAAAAATGCATGTTTCAGAGATTGACACGACCCACTCATTTCGGCCCACACCAGCAGTCAGTCATCCATCAGAGCCCAGCCCCGAGGGCGGAACCGAGCTCTGCCGAACACCAGTTCAGAGTTCGGCTCTGTCAAATGCTTCAAAGCAGATTTTACCACAAAGACTATAAAGAACGTTTTAGGAGGTGTCGAACCTCCTGCCGCCGGTACCGAGTCCGGACGGACCGGGAATCAGTAGAATTGTCAAAAATCTGAATGGTGATTTGTGAATTAGTCCAAACTGATGTTCGTGTGTTTCAGTTTGAGCTGCTGACTGGCCTAAACCGGGACACACCAGGCTCACCGGACCGGAACCGGGCTGAAACTGGACCGGAACCGGGCCTGCTGGAGGCTGAGGCCTGCACTGCAGCAGTTAAACCGGTTTCCATGGAAACGGCGAGTATAAGTGACCAGAGTCATTGACAGAGTGCCGCTTGATCAGCAGTCCAGTTCCTGTGAAGATCCACAGGGGCCCCTGCTGGTGTCCTGTTCACTACAACAGAGGAAGGGTGGAGGGCCTCACACTGAGCCGTGAGGGGCCCCTCTGAGACACTCTCTCAGAGCATCAGTGGGCGCCTCCTTCTGCTCCTCACTGGATGAACCCTGAATCCTGCCTTTGGTGACAGGTGTTTTAATGGTTGACTCTGATCAGCTGACACGTTTCCATGGAAAAGTGTAAATGACGGAGTCCCTGTGCCTCTGAGCAGGGACACAACCAGACAGGAAGTTGGGCAGTTTAGTTTTCTGACCATGAGCCAGCAGAGTTTCAGTATCAGAGTTCTAGCTGACTGTGTTCTCCTGCAGAACAAGACTCCGTCTGCTTTAACCCCAAACTCAGACCTGCTGCTCTGCCGCCGATGGCAGACGTCTGCTGAAGGCTGACGGAGGACTGCATCCTGATTGGACCGTTCCACAGGTAGGCCTGCGTTTCATCAATTCTTTCAGGGTTTGGTTCAGACCCTGTCCAGTAAAGTCCAGACTGATGTTAGCAGCACTCTCACAGACTGCTCACCTTTTACACCTTAACTACTTATTGATCAGACAGAAGAATGAAACCAAATATATTTCCATATGTGGACCTTCGACACTTTAACAGACACTTCAAGACATATTTATAACGTGCTGTTGATGCACAGCAGTTGTTGTGTATCGTGTTGCATGTTGTTGAATTATGTGGTGTTATTTATATACCATCTATTATTTTATTCTAACTTTAGATACGTGTGTTAATGTCCTGTGTAATGGGGTCATTTCAGCTCTGCAATTGGAACGAATAAGGAGCTTGACCCTCGTGCTGCTTTATTTCTGTATTATTTAATGATGCTGAAGTTTTAATGTGTTGTGATGTTTTTCCATGTTGTGTTGCTTTACGCTGTTTTTATGTTAGGGACCAATGAAATCACAGGAAAAACAATTGAAGGCTTCTAATTATAGATTTCTGAAACTCTTTTAAAGCAGAAACCATGATCATATGTATGTCGCTGATATTTATCAGCATCTTGTTCAAATTCAGTTTGTGTTTCATAAAACTGTAAAAGGAAGAAAACCTGTGTTTTGGAGCTTCTGCCGAGCAGATGCTCAGCTGTGTCCGAATACTTTGGCTTCGGGACAGAGAAAAGAAACACCAGTGACCTCCATGGCGTCCCGCCACAGTCACTGATCCCTCGTTTTCCAGCAGGTTCAGCCATATTTAAAGAGGTCGACCTCAAGTTACCGGCTGCTGTTTACATGCAGAGCTCTTATTTATCCCAGTAACTGTAGATTTAATGGCAAACGCTGCTGATGCTGCTGCCTCCCTGCTGCTGAATATCACCTTGTGCTGAGTTCTGATCAGATGTACCAGAACTCTTTTCTCTTTTCTGAACAGCTGTTTCTGTCTCCACCCTTTAGACCGAACATGGCGGCCTCTGAGGTGAATCTGGAGGACTACAGTCTTTACAGTCACCTGTCTGATGAGGAGCTGTTACAGATCGCTGTGGAGAGAAGCCTGCAGCTTACTCCATACTCTGTTCAGAGCACATCATCATCATCCTCAGCCCCTCCCGCCCCTGCTGCGCCCTATCAAACAAACCCCAGACAGAGACATCCTGACCCCCACAGACACCTGCCCTACATCCCTTTATACCAACCTCCACCTCCAGACACCCTACATGTCCCAAACTGTGCAAACTCCCCGAAAGGCCAGTCCCAGTTCAACTACAGCGCCCCCAAGAGGTGAGTCAGTCCAGAGAGGAAGTTCACAGCCTGCAAACATAGAAAACACAGGAAAACACATGTAATGTTCCAAAAACTGGACAATAAGCAAACATTCAAGTTAAAGTCTTTCTCGAGCTGCTTCATGGCCTTTCTCAGGATGGATGGTGAATTAATTTAGACGCCTCTGCACGTTTAGTTTCACCCATTGATAGAGTGAGATGTTTCATCAGACACCTGCTTGTAGTAGGGGCGGCTGTGGCTCAGGAGGTAGAGCGGGTTGGCTGTTAATCGGAAGGTCGGCAGTTCAATCCCTGGCTCCCCTTGGTTGCGTGTCGAAGTGTCCCTGGGCAAGATACTGAACCCCGAATTCCGCCAGTGTATGAGTGAGTGTGAATGTTAGTTTCTGTTTGAGCACTTAGGCTCAGTGTATGAATGTGTATGACTGGTGAATGCAGATGTAGTGTAAAAGCGCTTTGAGTGGTCGAAAAGACTAGAAAGGCGCTATACAAGTACGGAGCATTTACATTAGCCATCAGGGTCCACCACACCCCAGTCTGGTAGATCTGCTGACCTGTTTACAGTTCCTTCTTGTTATCTGGTCCTCGTACCGAATGCTTGTTTGTTTTTGTCTCAGAGAGTTCAGTCCTCTGCAGTCTCTGATAATAAACGGAGATGCAGAAGCTTTGATGAATTTGGTCAGACGGAGGTCCGGCAGTCTGATGGAGCCGAACGACGAAGGCTGGATCGCTCTTCATGAAGCCGCTTATTACGGACAGCTGCAGTGTGTCAGCATCCTCATCAGAGGTGAGTTCTGGTTGTCTGATGAAGGAGAGGATTTGGGTTTGTTTACACCTGGTCAACCACATACTGAATTAATCACACACTGTTTGTAATGCATGAACCCCAGGCGTCTGGTTCCTGGGCCTGATCTAATTTGCAAATAAAACGTTTTTACATAATGTTACTGATACAGTCCAAGCCTTATCTGAAGACTCCACAAGAGTTAATGTGATGATTTCAGTTCAAGTTCAAGTTGTCAAACAGGGATTACGTCTGTGCCCTGTTTTATTTATTTATATGATTGCTGTTGTTTTATTGTTATGTGATAGGAAAATCCACCAATATGTTGATGACACTGTGTTTTACTTCTCCCGTTCTGTTGAAATTACATTTCTACCGCTTTCATCTCATTTTCCTCAACTGAGAATTTAACTGCCGATTCTTCAACTAAAATTAATTTCTTTCAATACTTCAGATGAACCTTCCTGATCAATTTATTGTTTCTTAAACTCCTTAAACTAAAAGGCAATCTTCAGCTTCACTCAGCAACCGCACTTAAATGGAGACTTCCACTTGACCTGCCTCAACTCCTTTCAGTGTTCTTCCTTCAGTAGGAACTATTTCATATTTTAACCTGCAAATTGGCATCTGTGGGAACTTTTTCTTCAGAAAACATTGAACATTTTCCAGTTTTCTATTTACAGTATATACAGTATGCATGGTAGGAAATATGAACATGTTCATAAAACGATTCAGGTTCCTTTTTATTAAATTCAGAAGTTACATATGAAGCCAAAACATATGTTAAATTCACATTTAGATTGGACCAACCATCATATTTGTTCATGTAAACCCACCTGCCTTGACCGGTTGGTTTGGGGAAAGGAACACAGTTGCACGATGCAGGTTCTACATAGGGATGTAAAGTAAGAAATAACAATATTATCAATAAAAATAATAGTAATAATGAATATAATAAAGGTTTATATGAAGGAAATGCTGGACTTGGTTGAAAATACTCAAAGACATTTCACCTCTCAACTGAAGAAGTCTGTCGGATGATGGACGAAGTATCTTTAAGAAATCCAACCAAGGTTAAAGTCAAGGGCAACTGGACTTGGTTGAAGATACTGGAAGACGTTTCGTCCCTCATCCAAAGGACTTCTTCAGTTCTGACTGACTGGCAGGGAAACTCAGCTATTTAACCTCAGTGGGGTCGTTTGCCAGGATCGTCGATACTGCTGGTTCGTTAGTGTTCCTGGTTGCGGTCCTGGTAGCAGTCGTTACGGTCGTTAGGACTAACGGTGGCCAAGACTGAACGACCATCGTTGGTATCGTCACCTGAGGCCAATAGGTTACGTTTGTTGAGTTTCCTGGGAAGTGATGAAAGGACAGCATTGTAAGTGGGGGATAAGTGGTGGCGTAGACCCCCTCCTCTGTTCAATTACGGCTTCTCCACCCGGGTGTAGATGGCTTCTTCACACCAGAAGATGTTCACAACAACAGTTTGGCCTTCCTGGACTGCGCTGTACACATTGAAGAGGACAGGAGCCTGCAGATTGGTGTTTACAGAAAACCCCCACACACAGACCAATACCTACTGTTCGATTCCCACCACCCACTGGAGCACAAGCTAGGGGTCATGAGAACACTGCACCACAGAGCGGAAAACATACCAACAAGCGCCCAAGCCAGAGAGAAGGAACATAACCACCTGAAGGGGGCACTTACAGCCTGTGGATACCCTAAATGGACTTTTGTGAAGACAGCCACAAAATCCAAGAAGAACAAAACTACAGGGGAGGAAAAGAAGGTCAAACGCAACAACATTGTGATTCCATACGTGTCTGGAGTATCAGAGAAACTCAGGAGGATTTTCAACAAACACAACATCCCTGTGTTTTTTAAACCCAAGAACACACTAAGACAGATGCTGGTCCACCCCAAAGACCGCACACCCAAACACAAGAAAAGCAATCTAGTGTATGCGGTCCAATGCAGTGAGGAATGCACAGACCTGTATATTGGGGAGACTAAACAACCACTACACAAACGCATGGCTCAACACAGAAGGGCCAACTCCTCAGGTCAAGACTCTGCAGTCTACTTACATCTGAAGGACAGAGGACACTCGTTTGAGGACCACCAGGTGCACATTTTAGACAGAGAAGATGGATGGTTTGAAAGAGGTGTCAAGGAAGCATCTACACCAGGGTTGAGAAGCCGTCATTGAACAGGGGAGGGGGTCTACGCCACCACTTATCCCCCACTTACAATGCTGTCCTTTCATCACTTCCCAGGAAACTCAACAAACGTAACCTATTGGCCTCAGCTGAAGATGCCAACGATGGTCGTTCAGTCTTGGCCACAGGTAGTCTTAACGACCGTAACGACTGTCGTCACAGCAACAAGGAACACTAACGAACCAGCAGTATCGACGATCCTGGCAAACGACCCCACTGAGGTTAAATAGCTGAGTTTCCCTGCCAGTCAGTCAGAACTGAAGAAGTCCTTTGGATGAGGGACGAAACGTCTTCCAGTATCTTCAACCAAGTCCAGTTGCCCTTGACTTTAACCTTCTTTGGATAACTATGACCTGGATGACTGAGAATCTTCATAGACATCTTGCTGGCAGAAAGGTTTTTCCCGACCCAGAGGTGGCGGATACTCCTATCCCTGAAGCTGAACCTGATGAGTTGGTTCAGAAACCTCCTGAAGTTTATTCTGTTGGTGTCTTGACTAGGGCACAGGCTCGTAAGCAGGCCCAAGGGGTGGATCTCTCCGAGTCATTGTTCTCCTCTGTGTCTAGTGTAGCAGACCTAAATTTTAATTATGCATTTTAATAAATTTTTGAGAATTGATACCCAATTATGAATTTTAATATTCATAAAATCAAAACAGATTCCTCGTTTCAGGGCACCACCGGAGTTGTTATAATCCTAGAGTCTCCGGACCTCTAGGTAGTTTTGAATAATTATACAATTATTACTAGTGATCAGTTAGTTAATAATCGCTCAATTATCTTAAATCAATCAGTCAGTCTCATATCTAAAGGGTCAATTCTCTTGGCAGGGACGTACAAATAGGCAACACACACAGTTCTTGATTATATTACAGTGAATTTATTCTCTAACTAAGGTGATAAGAAGATGGTTGGATACAGGGAACATAAACATTTGCTGAACAATGAGCCTGGAGGTTCGGTTGTGGGAAGCATTTGACTCATACGGCATAGAAGAGCTAATGAAAGTAAACTAATGCTATGATTTAGGAGTTAAAATGGACATCTGATCACAGAACGTGCGTTAAGTCTTACTGCTTGTCGACAGCCTGCTTTTGGCCTGTTGCACGGGTCCCACGCTAGCTGCCGATCCTGGCTTTTTGCTAGGGATTCTCCGGGGTTCTCCGTGTCTGATTGAAAACGCCTCCTCCGTCTGGCAATTCGGCTGTTTTCAGGTTTCCTTCGTTGTAGCTGGCGAGACCACGTGGCTTGGTCTGACCTCGGTGAAGTTGGCTCGACGAAAAAGGCTTAAAATGGAACTTGGTCGTTCCTGAATTAGTCCAGTGTAACTTAACGGACTCATAACTTTAACAAACAAAAGAAATAAAGAAATTAAAAACAAACTGAAGGCAGATCGATGTCGCGGCACTTCAGGTGTGTAGCTTCAGGCGAACAAAGGCCTGTCTCACTGGCCGAGTCTGAGGGCGTTGCCTGGCGAGGCACGAAGCGTCCAGCGAGCAGAGCAGAGTGCAAGAGAGCCAACAGCGAAGAAGTGAAGAGCGCAGCGAGGTCACGTGTCGCTCTTTTGTTGCCTGGGGTGTGGTTCCCCAGGGGGCGTCTCCAGAATAAAAGTTGACGGGAGAAATCAAAGAAAGAAAGTGTGTGTGGGGTAGTTTTGTTGTTCTGACCTACAATGAACTCCGATTTTAACTAGACCGTGAATCATAAAACAAATCCAATGTAAGACTTGTGTCGTGGGGGGGCGGTCAGTAAAAGACTTCGGTGAAGGATGCACTGGTGTATCCTCGCTCATAGCTCCTCAGAGATCGCTCCTCAATCCTCGCTCCTTGGAGCACAAATAAGAGCATTGGGACGGCGGAGATGGACAACTTCCGGGTAAAGCAAAGAGTGGGGAAACAACAAATAAGAGACTTGAGAAGCAGCAAATCAAACACAGTTTGACCTCTGACCATTGTCTGTCCTCAGCTCATCCCGAGTCCGTGAACAGATGCACTTTAAATAATCAGACCGCTCTGCTGCTGGCTGCTGATCGAGGAAATGTTTCCTGTGTCCACTTCCTCTTGAAGCACAGAGCTGATCCGAACATCGCCAGCAAAGACCAAGAGACGCCACTGTTCGCAGGTGAGCTGACACCACAGCGCCTGCTGAAAGATGCAGAGTTTGATCGTCTTGGTCCAGCCTGAAACTGTTTTTTATTTCAGCCTGTGAACATCCGAACAAAGCCATTGTGGAACTGCTGCTGAGGTTTGGAGCCAAGGTGAATCGCTGCACTCAGGGAGGAAGTGCTCTGCATGAAGCTTGCAGACACGGACAGGTGGACATCTGCAGGGTGTTACTAGAGGCCGGAGCCAATATACACAGCAAAAACATCTACGGCATCCAGCCGCTCTTCACCGCCGCACAGCACGGACTCTGCGATATCCTCCAGCTGCTGGCTGAGAAAGGTCAGTCCTGCAGACCTGTCCATGAATTCTCTTTTTGTCTCTCAGGTGCAGATATAAATGGACAGGCTGATGTTGAAGTGTTTCTAAATGTGTTTTCGTGTCTCTCAGGTGCAGATATAAATGGAGAGGCAAGGGACGGAGCCTCGCCGCTGTATGAAGCTTGTAAGAACGGTCATGTTGCTGCTGTGGAGGTGCTGCTCTCTCTGAAAGCTGACGCTAACCGATCCATGAAGTCTGGCCTGCTGCCTCTTCATGTGGCTGTTCAGAACAATCACACACGGTCTGAGACGCTCGGAGTCTGAAACTGCATGTTTTCAACCAGCACGTTCTCACTCCAGACTCGTCACATATTGAAGCTCAAGTTAGCAACAAGAAATATGCAACATCCGGTTAGACTTTCAAAATAAAAATCGCCATTTTGAAACGGCATTAAAGTCGTGAAACGTTGCAATTTGGTTAGGTTCAGGCACAAAAAGGACTTGCTTAAGCAACGAAGGTTAAAGTCAAGGGCAACTGGACTTGGTTGAAGACACTAGAAGACGTTTCGTCCCTCATCCAAGGGACTTCTTTAGTTCTGACTGACTGGTAGGGAAACTCAGCTATTTAACCTCAGTGGGGTCGTTTTCCAGGATCGTCGATACTGCTGGTTCGTTAGTATTCCTGGTTAGGGAACACTAATGAAACAGCAGAATCGAATGCTATCTTTAACCAAGTCCAGTTGCCCTTGACTTTAACCTTCGTTGGATAACTATGACCTGGATGACTGAGAATCTTCACAGACGACTTGGTTAAGGTTAGGAAAAGATCCTGGTTTGGGTTAAAATAACTACGTACGTCAGTTAACATGTAAGTTAACTAACATTTCACACGAGACACAAACCCCGGTCTCCAGGTTCAAAGTCCAGGTTCTGGCCCTCCATCCACCCCAACCACCTCCTTACTCGGTTTTTACCGTCACAAACTGATGCTACAGGGCTTCCCCCACTGCGCTGACCCATGATGCTAAAGGCATGTCTCATGTAACGAGTCGGGGAGTGAGAACGGGTTGTATCAACTGTGTTTCATGGCTACTTGTTTAATCAACCCACTGGTTCTCTGTGGTTGACAAGTTCCTCTATAGAATAATCGCCAAAGAAGTCTGAGGTTACAACGTGAATGTCTTTAAAGTAACACCATGTTTGGTTGTCGGTCCTCAGTCCGACTCTGCTGATGATAAATCTTCCCTGACAGCTACCTCTTTGTATTTCCAGCATCGTGTCGCTGCTGATCCCAGTGACCAGCAAAGTCAGAGTCCAGCACAGCGGCATCAGTCCTCTGCACATCGCCGCAGAGAACAACAGGGATGATATCCTGGAGCTGTTGATTGAATCCGGCTTCAACGTCAATGCCAAGCTGTCGGAGGAACGATCCAGGATGTACGAGGACCGGCGAAGCACAGTGCTTTACTTCTCTGTCTCCAACGGGAACCTGGAGGCCAGCGAGATGCTGCTGGAGGCTGGAGCAGACCCCAACCTGGACGTCTTCAACCCGCTGCTCATTGGCGTCCGGCTCGGCTGGATGGACATGGCGACGCTGCTGCTGAAGTACGGGGCCAACGTCAACGCTCAGATCTCCACCCAGCCGTCCTCGTTCCCGTCGGCCATCCTGCTCAACATGGAGTCTCTGCCCATGCTCAAACTACTTCTGGACAACGGCTGCGATGCCCGGGCTTGCTTTGACTGTCCATACGGCCAAAAACCACATCCGGCCGTCGAGCCGTTACGCCGTCCCATCGAAGAACTGCAGGTCAACAGAGATGCTCCGCTGCAGAGCAGCATACAGGTAAGTCAGAAACATCCAGCATAAATCCATATATGTGAATATGATAAATTAAGGGTGTCCTCCATCTTGTTTCAGTTCTGCGAAGCCGTCTCCAGGTCGTCTTTGTGCCGTGTAAGCGGTCCGATCATCTCGGTGCTGCTTGACTACGTCAGTCATGTCCGTCTCTGCTCGCGGCTGCTGGAGGTTCTGGAGAGTCGCAGCGACTGGGCACCAATCATACTGAAAGCTCGTAAGCAACAAAAACAATGCTGTCAGGTGACTGAAGGTTCTCATAGCAACAGGAACTATGGGTGGGAGGGCCTGAGGTACTGGATCCGGTATCACAGCTGTGAACCAAGTTCCTACAAACATTCCCCAGTATATAAACGTGTTCTAGAGAAACTCCTGGAGAAATGTGTGAGCTCTCAGAAAGGCTCTGTAGTTTTCTAGAAACGGTTCATAGAAAAGGTTCCATATTTTCTACAAGGTTCTCTAAGTTCCTGAGAAGGTTCCTCTTCCTAAAGGTTCCTAAATGTCAAGGTCCTGGTTCAGACAAACTGTGGAGCCAATCAGGGAGCTAGAGTGAGCAGCTAGGCTGTGACCAAATGTAAGCAAGTGAGCAAGTTTGGTAGACAACACTTTGTGTACTGCACAAGCTACGATGTTGCTGTGGAGACTACTGGTCAGCCAGCAGTTTATCTAATATGGTGTCAGAAGTGTTGTTGAGACACAACCGATGCTGACTGGCCTCCCTGGAGACAGATTCACACGGTACATGCCGGCTGCTAAGTTGGGTGATTAAAAGGTCCAGGTTAGCACACTCATCTACGCCATGGGCTACGAAGCCAAAAATATCATTTATCAGAGCGCTCTGTGAATTGAGTTCCTTTGGAACCAAGAAAAGTGAACTTATCAGAGACAGACTGGAGGTCGGGATCTGTGAATACAGCTTATACCGGACCTCACCTTGGAAATTGCAGTGCAGACGGTAGGACAAGACCAGGACGTAGCGCAGCAGATAACCCAGCAGGAGCATCAGGCAACGGCAACCATCGAACAGGGGAGAGAGAGCCTGTCAAAGACAGAAGTAAAGAGAGAGAGAAAACTGGTGGGACTCCAGCCCCAGCCCAATAGATGAGGAGCAGGGGTGGATACAGCGGGTCATGCAACATCAAAAGAGAGAGAGACGGAGGAGACTCTGGCCAAGCTCAGTCTTCTGGTCTCTGGATGCAGCTTCAGGCTAACCCTAACCCTGTAGGGACCTTTTGATGCCTGCTGACAAGCTTCATCACGCCTTTTTTAAACTGCCTGCCTATTGGGATAAATATCCTCCCAGAACTGCTGAACTGCTGAAGGTACTAGAGGGAGTAGCTGTGTATGTGGACAAGGACATGTTGGACACGACACACACCTGCAGAGCTCATTGGACAGAATTAGCAGGACGACCTCAAACCCAACAAGGAGAAGTGTGTGTTCAGTTCCTGGCTCACATATAGTGGAGGCCAGTGATGTGAGAGTAGACGGGCAAAGTGAATGCCATCAGAGAGTTACAGGAGCCCACACATGTTCACCTCTAAAGCAGTAGATATCTGCCAAGCTACGATCTGCCGAACCCCAGGGACATGGGATTACCTCACCTGGCCCACTACGACCCTCAAAGGCAGCCAGCCGTTTCAGCAGCCAGGAGCATTTATGGGATAGGGGGCGCTCTTCTTCAGTTGCATGGTGTTCTGGGAGACGCTTTTAGCAGAGGTGTGGGCCTGTGAGAGGCTTCAGAGGTACCTGGTTGGTAGAGAACATGTCTGCTGGTCTAAACACAGTGTGGACACTTAGTTTCTGCCAGGAAAACAAGCGTACGCAGCACAAAGACCCAGTACAGCACACACCTCTGCCTGAACCACCGTGGCAGGACACAACCACCTGTGAGTACTGAGGCCAATGCAAATGTGGCACATTTAACTAAGTCACAGTTCTGACCAGATCCACGATACACAAGACCTGGAAAGACTTCTGCAGACTGTATGAAACCAGCAGAATCAAGTCCCCACAATCCTCAAGGAAAAGGGCAACCCACCTGACACCCACTGCTGGAAGCCCAGCTGAAGTGCTCATGGGACAGAAGATCAGAACCACACTCCCTTCAGACACAAGGAATCTGGTCCCTAAGTGGCCTGATAAAGTCCTCGTCAGACCACCACAGACACCTGGAGACATGGTGCAAAGGACTTGCCACAACCGGGAGATCAGATTCTGTTAAAGCTAGAAGAGGAAGGACACAGAAAGGACCAGTCGCCGGAGAGTGGTACTCATAGAAACTCACCCGAAGGTCAGATAGTGTTCAACCTGTGGTAAGACTGGAGAGGGAAGCATAATCATATAGAAGAGGTAAAGTAAGAACTCTGCAAATACCTGGAAGGAAAAGTCCAGAGGAAGGAGAGAGTTGATCCTGGAGGGAGAACGGGAGTAAGGGACGATTAGTTTGAGTTCATGATGTGTATGATGCTTTCAGGTGTGCCTGCCATGGTACCACACGATGTTATTGTGGACCCCTGTGGTCTAGAGAGTAGCTGCTCGGTCAGGGTTTCAGGTTAAACAGATACAACAAACTACTCGTTCTGAGTTCAAACAGAGTTCCATCTTGTTCCTAAGGTGTGAACGTTTGAAGTCATTCAAGGAAGGTTAAAATCAAGGATACTTGAAGATGCTTCTATGCTACAGTATCGATCATCTTGGCAACGACCCTACAGAGGTTAGATAGCTGTTTCCCTGCCAGTGAGTCAGAACTGTCTTTTGGATGAGGGTGTAGCAGACCTAAACATTTTTAGTTATGCATTTTAATAAATTTATGAGAATTGATACCCAATTATGAATTCATAATTGAAGATTCATAAAATCAAAATTTTCCTTGTTTCAGGGCACCACCGGAGTTGTTATAATCCTAGAGTCTCCGGACCTCTAGGTAGTTTAATAATTATACAATTATTACTAATGATCAGTTAGTTAATAATCGCTCAATTATCTTAAATCAATCAGTCAGTCTCATATCTAAAGGGTCAATTCTCTTGGCAGGGACGTACAAATAGGCAACACACACAGCTCTTGATTATATTACAGTGAATTTATTCTCTAACTAACGTGATAAAAAGATGATTGGATACAGGGAACATAAACATTTGCTGAACAATGAGCCTGGAGGTTCGGTTGTGGGAAGCATTTGACTCATACGGCATAGAAGAGCTAATGAAAGTAAACTAATGCTATAATTTAGGAGTTAAAATGGACATCTGATCACAGAACGTACGTTAAGTCTTACTGCTTGTCGACAGCCTGCTTTTGGCCTGTTGCACGGGTCCCACGCTAGCTGCCCGATCCTGGCTTTTTGCTAGGGATTCTCCGGGGTTCTCCGTGTCTGATTGAAAACGCCTCCTCCGTCTGGCAATTCGGCTGTTTTCAGGTTTCCTTCGTTGTAGCTGGCGAGACCACGTGGCTTGGTCTGACCTCGGTGAAGTTGGCTCGACGAAAAAGGCTTAAAATGGAACTTGGTCGTTCCTGAATTAGTCCAGTGTAACTTAACGGACTCATAACTTTAACAAACAAAAGAAATAAAGAAAATAAAACAAACTGAAGGCAGATCGATGTCGCGGCACTTCAGGTGTGTAGCTTCAGGCGAACAAAAGGCCGGTCTCACTGGCCGAGTCTGAGGGCGTTGCCTGGCGAGGCACGAAGTGTCCAGCGAGCAGGGCAGAGTGCAAGAGAGCCAACAGCGAAGAGAAGAGCGTGCGCGAGGTCGCGTGTCGCTCTTTTGTTGCCTGGGGTGTGGTTCCCCAGGGGGCGTCTCAGGTTTCCCCAGGGACTGCCTTTCTAAACTTAATGTCTAAAGAAAAAAATCTATTTGCACGTATTATAATCAAATATTTTCCACAATCGAACCTCAACGGTCAAACGGTTGTACTTTTCTAAGCATTTGGTAACAGGAAACAATTGTCACATTATTGGTCAGGATATTTATACATTTAACGGCATTTCCGACGAGGGCATGTAATACTTATTTCGTCCACTTGGGGGAGCTCAGGTTACATGAGGAAAGCTTGGATTAAATCAAAGATCGTCTCTCCTTAGGAACTGGGAATTTATTGATTCATCCTTAAATTCAAGCTGGCGATTAAGAGTATAGTAAAACATTTCTTTGTCATCATTTCTAAAGGAATTTTGTAAGAAAGTATTATGAACAAGCATTGATTACATTAGATGAAGGAGTGTCTTGCTGAAAATAAAAACACTGCACAAGTAACTTCTTTTCAGCACTAATATCAACAACAGATAGCAACAACAGTTAACATAACTACTCAAATAGAGGCAAACATATTCAGATAACTAAAGATTTAATTAAATGCTTTGAGTCTTTGGAGACTGCAGTCCTTTTACATTGAAAGTTCAGTGTCTGGACCTTGTCACACTTGGGTGAGACAGGGGTTTTCCTTTTTGATGTGGTAATAAAACAAAGAATAAGGTCAGTTGCCACGGAAACGTGTGTGGGGGGGGCCAGTTTTGATAGGCTGTTCAGGGAGATGCCAATGGCTGGCTCGTGTCCCTTTGTCAGTTTAACAGTCAGGCCCCGTGTTATCAGCTTCGGAATCAAAAAGGTGCCAGTTTTATGGTCGGGATAGCACTTAGAGAAAGCAACTTTGACCCCTCCCCATCTTCTCTGGGGAGGAAAAAGGAATTTAGGGTAGCTCCAAATTTATTCCATGTAAAACGCACAAATCCACACTGTTGTTCACTACAAGGGCGAAAAACATTCTTCAACCAAGCTGCCCCTGATTATAACCTTCCTTCTAAAACATCCTGAGGTTTTAGAACATGTTCATGTACCCGACCGGTGTTTCTGATCTTTTAACTAACGGGGAACAAAACTGAATGAACATTTGAAATAACTCAATACACCACAAACAGACCACAGACTGCTGAGCTGGGGGTGGAGACAGTGCTGTCAGGGGGCGGGGCTTACATGATGAGGGACCAGGACTCTGTACCACGAAGCCAGGATCACTTTCTGTTATCTGGCTTCACTAACCCTAACAATCACTCTGGCTCAGCGGTCACAAAGCTGGTTATTAAAACAGTAAGTCAACCCTGGGTTTCCCAATCCAGGAGCGTGTTCACATAAAAGAGGCGGAGTCAGCAGCAGATGACCAATCAGACAGTGATGAGTCCAACGGCAACAGAGCGAGCAAACTGTGGTATTAGACAGAGTCTTCAGAAAAGTTACTCTCATCACTGCAGCCAACATAAAGCACAGCTATAAGACTACAGATGGTGACGTCATTTTCCAGAGAGCTGATTGGTCAGTAGGCGGTGTTTTAAAGAGTTGATCTCTGATCTGGAACAGAACCTGGAGCAGGTTAGCCGTTCAGCATCAGGTACTATTGTAAGGAGAGAACCACCGTTGTGGTTCTGAAAACCTGAGTTAGCTCGCTAAGCTCACTTCCTGCTTCGTGGTACAGGCCCCTGGTCTGGTCTGAGTCTCTAACCTGTCTGTGTTTTCTGTTCAGTTCCTCCTCATCCTCTGATGCAGCTCTGCAGGTTGAAGATCAGACATCTGGTCGGAGTCCGGAGACTCAAACTGCTCCCCTCTCTGCCACTTCCTGTCCGACTCATCCGCTTCCTGCTCCACGACGTCCACTGCTCGCTCGCCTGATAGCCACACGTGTTGGCAGCTCGCCGGCGCAGGGAGTAACCGCTAACCGGCCTCGTTCACAAACCTTTTACGCACAAATAAGTATTTTCTTATTAAATTTGTTCGTACTCTGCCTCGGAACAAGCGCACGCCCGGTGATGGAGGCGGGCTGTCAATGCACACCTTGGTACTAAATGCATGTTAAAGCCATCAACTAAGGCTGTAATAGACAGCGACATGTCAATGCTTTGGCCAAATGTGTTGGATCAGCTGATGTCATAATTGAAATATTCAGTCCCAGGACCATGTTGACATGTGACACTTTCGGTTGTTTTTGCTGACTGAAACGTGTAGAATAATGAGCCGCTTTTAGTTTCTTCAGGCGTGAAGTTCTTTTTGATTCTCACCGCTTCCTCCATGATACTCCTCTAGGCAAACCGCTTCCTCACATGGACAGATGGGGGCATGGTAGAAGGCTGATTTTAAATTGTGGGCACCAGGGATGTCACGAGAACCGACACTTCAGAACCAAGTCAATACCAAACTTCTGAAAACACGTCGGTTCTCTTTTTGCTAGGTACTGTAGATCAGAAGAGCAGTGAGTAGCTGCGTGTGGCTGAAGCTAGTTTGGTTTTTTTCAACATAGAAATGTCAAACCACTGCCAAGACAGACCAGCTCTCATCTGTCCTGGACGTCTTTCTGATGTTTTTAGTAAAGGAGTGTCGGGTGAAGTATGTGGGATTTTTACTGTTGTCCGTATCGACTACTAAATTTCTGGTGTCGAGACATCCTACTGGGAACTTAACTTAAGGAATGTTACTTGCACAACTTACGTAACCTGCATAACTTCAGTAAAATATTTAATGTTGACTTTTTGTTTGACGTGGGAAACGAACACCGGTCTCCTGGTTGAAAGTCTGGTTTATGTCTCATCATCCACCCCAACCACCTCCTTACTCTGACTTCCTGTTAAATACCCTCCACCTACCTTTAGCGTGGTAAACTGACACTACAGGGCGCCTCCCAGTGCGTCCCAAACTGATGCCGACAGGTCTTGACCATGGGTCCATATGTGACGACTTGAGAGAAAACAGGTTACTGGTCTCATACTGGTCTTCTACCATATTTACATCATCGTAAGACCACGCCCATCTTTTAGAAAAAGACGGAGAGACTTCGTCTCTTGTGAAAGTGGGACACACTTCAGTTATATGGAACCTAAAACCACGTTATTTATTTCATGTTTTACTGTGTTCGTTTGTATCTCAGCAGAAGTGAACTGTCTTGGTTTCTCTTCTCTAAAACAATGTTTCCCAGTGCTTTCTAATAAAAACTGATTTAACTTGTGAACTTGGTGGTGTTTTCAGGGCCCGTGAAATGTCTTTGACCTGTGTCTCTCCCGTTCTATAAGAGGAACATCCAAACCTCTTTAAATCAGTTAAAAGCTGATTTAATTATGATTTTCTGTGAAGTGTCTCGTGTGTCTCCTCTGTCCTCAGACAGCTTCAGAGAAATGAAAAAAGATATGAGTGGTTAAATTTACACGTCTAGAAACACGTGATGGGTCATCGAAGGTCACAGGGAAACGTAGCTGCATGTTAGCAGCCAGAGGGGTCTCTGATGCTTTCTGCATCAGGACCTGGTTCGTGGAGGTTTCATGGATTTAAATTGCCATTAAAAGGCGTTTTGTGAACTTCTGGTTCCTGTGGTGGTGACACATGTTGGTAAAGCTCGGCTCTGACCTTGTTTACTCACTTTCACTCAGCAGCTGAATCTAAGAATAACATGCACATGTGCATGCTCACATTCACTTTATCTGGGTCAGAACTGGTGGTCTGATTGGTCAGTTTACTGATAAAATAAAACTTTATTAGTTTAGCGTGTAAAAATAATCCACTTCTCAGGGCTTTCATGCTGAACCAGGATTAAAACAGTTCAGGAGGCAATGAGACAAAAACATTCAGACAATTAATACATAATGCAGAAATCAAATCAAATATCAACAGTAATTATAATATTTGGGGTTAAATCAGTTCTCTCTGTCAGAGTAACCTGGAATAACCCCTGGTTATTGTGGCTGGTCTGATTGGATCAACACGTGTAGGGATCTAAACTGGTTCATCCATCCATCGTCAGCCTGTTATCTGTGCTGGGTCGCGGGGGGGCTGGAGCCGGTCCCACTGGGTGAGAGGCGGGGTACGCCCCGGGACCAGTTGTCAGTCCATCACAGGGCTGACACGGTTCAGAAATACTGACATGACCCTTTAATCAGAGTTAAACTGCTTTCTGGAACAGGCCCTTGAACACTGACTGGTCTGAATGAGATTTGTAAAATCCCAGACTAACCCTGGACAGATCAGGGATCAACCTGGGCCAGACCACATGTAAACCCTGGACGTTGCTCAGATAAACTCAGGATAGAGCTCCGATTAAACCGGGTTAAATCACAGATTATCCTGGACAGAGCTCAGATGAACTCAAAATCCGGTTTAATTTAAGACAGATCTGGGATTCACCCTTGAAAGATTAACCCTGGAAAGTCCTGGGATTAACTGGGGTCCAATCACAGGGAAATCCTGGACAGACCAAAACTGAACCCTGCACTGATTACAGACAGATTTAAGAAAGATCTGCGATTAAGTCTTTTGTGTTTATTTTGGTGTAATACACCTTTTGTACACTGGGGGGCAGTTAGTTCATCCCTCACTGGCCACCTGTGATTGGTGATGGATGTTCCTGTGCTGCCGTGGAGGAAGAAGGATGCCGACTGCAGATTTTCCAGTGCGGAAACACATTGGATTCAGCAGGAAGCCGATCAACACTGATTCTTCCTACTGAGGTACGAGACATAATGGGCGTCTGTGTCGTGGTGTTCTCATTCCTGGTCTTGATGTTTTGTCAGTTGCTCGTTCGTGTCTGTCGTGAGTTTGTCTGTGTCCGGTGTCTTTGTCTAGTTTGGTTTCCTCTTCAACTGGCGACCTGTCCAGTTTGCCCGATGTCAGCTGGGATAGGCTCCAGCCCCCTGTATGCAGGATAAGCGGTTGACGATGGATGGTTTCCTCTTCAGCCTGATTACTCCCTTGTGTCTCACCTGTGTTCAGTTACCTGGCCCTTTTCATACATTGGCTCTTGCGTGGCCTTTTCTCTTTGAACTATTGCTTTTCGTTGGTTTATAAGTTTTGGATTAGGGTTTTTAGACGCTATGCTTTGATTGTAGGTTTACCGTTAACCGTTAATAAATGCTGAAACAGTTCCTGCATCTGGGCCCAGATACCTGCCTCTCATATCTGAGCTTGACTGTTCCCGTAACAATTTGACTTTGTGTGCACACGTTTGATCGTAAACCCAAGCTTGGTCGCTGAAAAGGAAACTAAACTTTGACTGCAATGGCAAGTGTGAACAATGGTGATGACATGTTGGACTGCCGAGGCTACTGGGGCTACCTCTAATTATTTGAATGACAGTAGGTCGTTTAACGACTCAGATGACACGGGGGAAACTAAAGAACCAAGGCAAAGATTGTAAAACACTTTAGCTAAGTTTGTGTGATGAAGCTAAATCACTGTGAAATTCATTGATGGGTTTGTTGCACGGTGATAAACCTGAAAGGCAAGAAACACGGTTTAAATTAAAAATAATGAAAACAAAGGTCGTTCGTCACAAGCTGGAAACAATGACAGAAATGAAAGTGAGTTCATTGGTGATATTTTCCCTGAAGACAGCGGGTCAGATGTTCTCGCAGCCGAAGCTCCGGCAGCGTCTGCACACAGGGAAGCTGACGCTGAGGGACTGCAGCTCTGCAAGAAGAAGAAGGAAGCAGCTTCAGACAGAAAAGGTGTTTCCAAAGCCCCTCACATGGCAAAGTCCTACCTGGAAAGGAAACTCAACAGCATCCAACCTCACAGCAAAAGAGTATGACCCTCTTTGGGAAACTCATCAAAGCACGTGAGCCAACCGCAATGCAACACGATCCTTTCTGACTGGGAGCACGAGCCAAACCAAGCCAACATGTTCAGCCCAGGTTACCAACCTGAGACATCACAATGTCCCTTCGGGGCACGTGGCTCCTGAACGTGGATCCTGAACCTGAACATGGATCCCGAACGTGGCTCCTGAACCTGAACGTGGATCCTGAACGTGGATCCTGAATGTGGCTCCTGAACGTTGCTCCTGAACGTGGATCCTGAACGTGGCTCCTGAACGTGGATCCTGAACATGGCTCCTGAACGTGGATCCCGAACGTGGCTCTTGAACGTGGATCCTGAATGTGGCTCCTGAACGTGGCTCCTGAACGTGGCTCCTAAATGTGGATCCTGAACGTGGCTCCTGAACCTGAACGTGGCTCCTGAACCTGAACATGGATCCCGAACGTGGATCCTGAATGTGGCTCCTGAACGTGGATCCTGAACGCGGATCCTGAACGTGGATCCTGAACGCGGAATGTGTTGGAAACATAGAAACCCAGGGCTCGTTCACTGATCAACGCGACATCAAGAATCTGATTCTGTTCTCGGGTCATTTGTGGAACTGGCTTGAAGACTGTGAGTAACTCTACATAGGAAAGACGTAAGAGGACAGAGCTTTGGCAGCAGGGCAAAGTTTGTTGACTGTGAACAAACAAGACATGAATGAGGAGCGTAGTCCTAAACAGAAAGAAGCCTCAGTCTGAAGGTGAAGGGATCTATTAGGAACCACCATGTGACTCCTTCAGACACACCTTAGAAGTACCTGTCCAAAGGTCACCTGGTCAGTTTCACATAGACATGCATTAATAATAGTAAGAGCCTTCCTCTAATGCTGCTGTTGCTGCTGTTCAAGGTTCTGAGGGACTGTGGTTCCTCCTTTACGTCTTCCCCCCTGTGCTGGATTATTAATAACCCTCCTAAGAACTGAGTTTGTGCTGCTCTGGGTCCTGGTCTTAGTTTCCCTGTGTCTTCACCTGATAAACCACCACCGGGGACAGAGTGAACCCCAGAGTTGGACTGAGGATTATTACAATATTAAACTTGGATCAGACACCCGATCATTATTCTTCAGGTTCAGATAAAGCTGCCTGAACACTGGTGTCAGTATCAGAGTCCAGCTGGTCAACAAGCTCAGACTGCAGGTCCTTAAAATAAACTCAAGTAACCCATCCCCCACCCTGTCCCCGTCCAGCCAGTGTCTTGTGGAGCCTCTGTGAGAGCCAGCAGAATGACAGCAGACAGGCGATGAAACACACTGAGTGGTCCTAAACGGAGGGGACGTTGGATTTCTCTTTCACAACCCTTTAAAAGAGGTGAGTCCTGCTGTCGTTCAGTCCCTCTGTGTGTCTCTGTGTGTCTCTGTGTCTCTGTGTGTCTCTGTGTCTCTGTGTGTCTCCGTGTGTCTCTGTGTCTCTGTGTGTCTCTGTGTCTCTGTGTGTCTCCGTGTGTCTCTGTGTCTCTCTGTGTCTCTCTGTGTGTCTCTGTGTAACTCTGTCCCTCTGTGTGTCTCTGTGTCTGTCTGTGTCTCTCTGTGTGTCTCTGTGTCTCTGTTTGTCTCTGTGTGTCTCTGTGTATCTCTGTCTCTCTGTGTCTGTCTGTGTGTCTCTGTGTCTCTGTGTGTCTCTGTGTATCTCTGTCTCTCTCTGTGTCTGTCTGTGTCTCTCTGTGTCTCTGTGTGTCTCTGTGTATCTCTGTCTCTGTGTGTCTCTGTGTGTCTCTGTGTCTCTGTGTGTCTCTGTGTATCTCTGTCTCTCTCTGTGTCTGTCTGTGTCTCTCTGTGTGTCTCTGTATCTGTGTCTCTCTCTGTGTCTGTCTGTGTCTGTCTGTGTCTCTCTGTATGTCTCTGTGTCTCTGTGTGTCTCTGTGTCTCTGTGTGTCTCTGTGTATCTCTGTCTCTGTGTGTCTCTGTGTGTCTCTGTGTCTCTGTGTGTCTCTGTGTGTCTCTGTGTCTCTGTGTATCTCTGTGTATTTCTGTCTCTCTCTCTGTCTGTCTGTGTCTCTCTGTGTATATCTGTCTCTCTCTGTCTCTCTCTGTGTCTGTCTGTGTCTCTCTGTGTGTCTCTGTGTGTCTCTGTGTATCTCTGTCTCTCTCTGTCTCTCTCTGTGTCTGTCTGTGTCTCTCTGTGTGTCTCTGTGTGTCTCTGTATCTCTCTGTGTCTGTCTGTGTCTCTCTGTGTGTCTCTGTGTCTCTGTGAGCGAGTGTTGCTGTTGCTGTGAGTTCACCAGCAGCTTGTTGTGTGACTGTGCTGCTGCTGTTAGTTAGTAGCTGTTCTGCATCAGGACACGTACTGGTGTTACTGGGTCAAAGGTCAGTGGGAACATGGCTTTATTACTGAGACCAGACCGACAGTATAAGACTCTGTTAGCGCCCCCTACAGGCTGCGCAGCTCGCTCACAGATCTTTCCACATTGGTCTGACAGATAGCTGATGTGGCACATGCAGACACAGAACACAGGGTTCTTCTCTACTGCGTTCCTTTAGCTCAGCTCATGGACCAGCCGTGAGCTGCAGACCCAGACTTCATGAACACCTGCAGCCGTCTGGTGAAGCTGTTTGAACACTTGCTTCTTCTCGCTGACTGTTTCCATCAGTAAACTCTTTCATTGTCTGACCTCACAGCTCCGTCATGGCGGCAGCCAGCGTCTCTCGCTCTGGATCAACAGCTCCCGTTCTGGCCTTCGAGGATTATTCCCTCTACGGTAACCTGAGTGATGACGAGCTGCTGGCACTCGCCATCGAGCGCAGTCTGACCGACGCCCACGCCGACACTGCTGCTACGCCTCCTTGCCAACCCCCCTGCAGCCGCCTGATCCCTGCAGCCGGCCAACCTGGCCGCAGCTCCCACAATCCACCTCCAGCCGAGACCACCGCACACTACAGTTCTCCAAACCCTCCGAGTGAAATGCCTCCCGATCCGTACGTCAGCCCACGCCTTTTATTCCCTCCTCCGTGTTGTCAGTGCTAAAAGCGATGATCCAGAGAAGAGCTTCCTCAGCGCTGATATCTGCAGCATGGGCAGATTGTACTCTGCAGGTCGTAAATAATAATGCTGAGCTTCTCCTGCTTTGAAAGTCATTAGAACAAGACAGTTAAACGGCAAATCACTACTAACTAATAACAGAAACATTAATACAAAAGAGCTCACCGCTGCCCAACATCTGCCTCTCTGAATCAGCTGGAAATACTACAAGAAAACACACCACATAACTGTAATACTTTAAAACCCCCATCTGCTTCGAGCTGCTGACAGCTGCAGACCTCAGATCAGATTTACAGTTTGTTTCTGGTCAGCCGGCTGTCAGGAGAGCAGATGCGCAGGAACAGGCGTAGATGCACACATCGCATTCATCAGAGGATCTTTATCTGCCTGGCAGACTGACATTTGGTGACATCGAGCTTATTAAAGACACAAGCTGAATATTTCTTCTTGACTCTGCATGCGCTCTATCAGTCTCTGTGCTCTCATTGGCTGTTGTCTTGGCCTTTATGTGTGGCAGGAGGACCTTCGATGGAACAATCAGTCACTTCATGACGGGTTCTGGGAAGAGGATGGTGGCGTATCGCAGACCTGACGGTGGTCTGGTCCACATCGCTCCGGAGCCTAAAGAGTGAGTTGTAATTCTGTTCGGGGGGGGGTACAGGAGCTGTGTGAAGGAGGAGCAGGGGGAACCTCAGTGTGTCAGCCTTATATCACACAGGTGGCTGGTGGGTATTTTTCCCCGCAGAGAGGAGGAGCCTCTGTTCAAAGCGATCCATGACGGTGATCCGAGCAGAGTGAAAGCCCTGATCATGTGTCCGGGAACAAACCTGATGCTGCCGAGTAAACCGGGCTGGCTCGCCGTTCACCAGGCGGCGTGGTACGACCAGGACGCCTGCCTGAAGGTCCTGCTGTCAGGTAGATGTGATCAAACACACACACACACACACACACACGTCAAAGTCCAGAAACAGAGCTCCTCTGGTCTGTGTTTCTGCGCTCAGCTCAGCCCGGGATGATCAACAAGCGAACGGAGCGCGGTGAGACGCCGCTGATGGTCGCCATCAGCAAAGAGAGCATGCGATGCGTTCAGGTGCTGCTGGAAAGAGGAGCGGACCTCAACATCACGAACTACGACCGGGAGACTCCGCTCTACAAAGGTAAGACCGACAGGAAGTGATGGCAGCGTCCCAACAAACATCCGAGTCTGCTGAGGGGGGGGCGGGCTGGACTTTACTGGACAGTGTGTTGGCCAACCAGAGTAAGCGGATTACCGACCCCAACACCATAACCCGGAGAATAACCCAGATAGATGGTGATAATAATAATGAAGCCTCCCCCGCTCCCTCTGGCTTTTCAGTGTGCTGTATTGATGTAGGAGTGTTTTCTTTAGCAGACTTGATCATTTCCAGACCGGTGATGTCTCACAACTTTACATCCTAAACGGTCATGTCGGCGTGTCGGGAGATTTAAAAAATTTGTGATGTCATGCCAAGTAATTCGGACATTTGTAGGTGAGAAGGAGGCGAGACTTTAAATGTCCCAGGAAAGCTGACAGGGAGCCAGTGGAGGTGCTGGAGGGTCGGGGACGTGTGCTGCCAAGGTGTTCTGGAGTCTGTCCAGGTCTTTTCTGGGCAGTCCATTTAGGGTCCCTTCACACTAATCCAGATCAGACATAACAAGTGCATGGACGAGGGTCCGGGGTCCGGGGTCTGGAGAGGGCCCTTGGTGATGAATTTTAAGTGTGGTTCAAATGAAGGGCACGAATCAAACATATCACCCTCAGAAGAGTAGCATATTAATAGACCAAGTCACTCTCGCTCATGATCACCCCTAACACCAGATTGTAGGGGTTCATGAAACTCGTGGTTGGACAAAGGTTGCTGGACTAGATGAGCAACAACTTGTTTCAGGATTTAAGTTATTCAGATGACCATTTTCCTACAATGGGTCAGACAGGAGCCATTTTGAGAGACGGGGCCAGACCTAAGAGAGACGAAAGAGGTGGTAGCAGCAGGATTCATTTAGGATCATTCGTTTCGATGTGAAAGCTCATGGAGATAAATAAATTCCAAGATGGCGCTGCATAGGACGGCCGCCTCTGGATTACGCTCCGCAGTGCTTTTTATGTTTTTGTTTATTAACTCTACCGTCTTTTACCAGACAAGAGCTCTTAAACATTGGACTTTCCTGGAGTTATTAGTTGGAGGAGCAGCAGCTCTGTTTGGGATCCTTCGGAGACACCGAAGGGGAAAACATGCAGGCGCACTGGTTAAACTGAGACAGCGGGGTTTTTGCTCTGCGCTCCCTTCGATCCACCTGGCGAATGTCCGCTCTCTGGCCAACACAAATGGATGAACTGCTGCTCCTCAACAGTACTAACTCGAACTTCTGCAGATCTGCCGCCCTCTGTTTCACTGAATCCTGGCTCACCGAGCGCATCCCGGACAGCACACCTCACCTACCGGGATTTAATCTCTTCTGTTGGGACCGCATAACAGAGTTCACGGGGAAAACACGGGGAGGCAGACTCTGTTTCTATATAAACACAGGTTGACTAAAGAGGTCAAAGCTGCAAAGAGGAGCTATGCTGAAAAGCTAAATAACAGCTTTGCAGCCAACGACCCCGCGTCAGTGTGGAGAAGCCTGCGGACACTCACAACCTACAAGAGACCATCCCCCAACACTGCTGGTACTCAACGACTGGCAGACGAGCTGAATGGCTTTTACTGTAGGTTTGAGAAGCCCAGAGTCACACCTCTCCCCCACTCCAACGCCATCTTCAAACAGTCACCATCCCCCTCTGACCTCTCACCTGCACTCAAGATCTGTGAAGAGGACGTGAGCCACCTCTTCCACAGGCAGAAGATCAGGAAGGCTCCTGGACCTGAGGGTGTGTCTCCATCCTGCCTGAAAATCTGTGCAGACCAGCTGGCCCCCATCTTCACACAGATCTTCAACAAATCACTGGAGCTGTCTGAAGTTCCCTCCTGCTTCAAACGCTTCACAATCATCCCAGTCCCCAAAAAACCCTCCATCTCTGGACTAAATGACTACAGGCCTGTTGCCCTGACATCTGTAGTCATGAAGTCCTTTGAAAGACTGGTGTTGGCCCACCTGAAGGACATTACAGGCCCCCTGCTGGACCCCCTGCAGTTTGCCTACAGGGCTAACAGGTCAGTGGATGATGGTGTCAACTTGGGTCTGCATCACATCCTGCAACACCTCGACTCTCCACGGACATATGCAAGGATCCTGTTTGTGGACTTCAGCTTGGTGTTCAACACCATCATCCCAGACATCCTCAGCACCAAACTCACCCAGCTCACTGTGCCAGCCTCCACCTGTCAGTGGATCACAGACTTCCTGACTGACAGGAGTCAGCAGGTGAAGCTGGGAAACTTCACATCCAGCACCCGGACTATCAGCACTGGCGCCCCCCAGGGGTGTGTGATCTCCCCACTGCTCTTCTCCCTCTACACCAACGACTGCACCTCAGGAGACCCATCTGTCAAACTCCCGAACGGTCATCGGCCTCATCCGGGACAGTGACAAGTCGGCCTACAGACGGGAGGTTGATCAGCTGGCTCTCTGGTGCGGTCAGAACAACCTGGAGCTTAACACACTCAAAACTGTGGAGATGATCGTGGACTTCAGGAGGAGCCCCCCCGTCAGCTCAGGAAGCTCAACCTGCCTAAGGAGCTGCTGATCCAGTTCTACACAGGCATCATCCAGTCTGTCCTCTGCACCTCCATCACTGTCTGGTTTGGATCTGCCACCAAAAAGGACAGGAGCAGACTACAACGGACAGTCAGGACTGCAGAAAAGATCATCGGTGCCAACCTGCCCTCCATTCAGGACTTATACATTTCCAGAGTCAGGAAACGGGCAGGAAACATCGCTGCAGCTCCATCTCAGCCCGGACACAACCTGTTCCAGCTCCTCCCCTCTGGTAGGCGCTACAGAGCACTGTACGCCAAAACCAACAGACATAGAAGCAGTTTCTTCCCACAAGCCATCACTCTGATGAACAGCTGATTTCTGACTCACAGTGTCAGGAACAACTCCTGTGCAATAACCCAGTAACTCTGCCTCTAATCAGCACCTGTTTACTGGTTTCCACTTATTATTTATTTATTCAACATTCTCTATTTCAGTGCTGTTCATACTGTATATACTGTATACCAAATCCACCTACCTCTCGTACATAACACCAAACATAATACTTACTTATTCCAGCGTTCTTTGCACTCATCACACTGTGTACATGTGTGCTTGTATGTGCATGTGCACCTGTATATCACATCCACCTCTGACATGTACATGATAATAATAACAAATGGTAATAATAATAATTTACTCCTGCATCCTTTGCACTCTGCTCACTGCACTATTGTCTCAATCTGTCTGTTTTGTTTACAGTGTGTGTATATATCTATACTGTAACCTGTGTTTGATTTTATTACTGTATTATTGTATAAGTAAGCACATCGTGAGCAATGTACAATCCAAAGTCAAATTTCTCACATGTGTACACATACCTGATTCTAAATAAGCTGAAAGGGAAGCAGGCTGAAGCTTTGGCTCCCTTACATCTTCTGACAGGCAGCTCCTTCACTACTGATTTCAGACAAAGACAAACTGAACAACTGTAATGATCACACCTCAGTACTTTCTTTGAATTGACAAATTCTGAATTATATATATTATATATATTATATATATTAGGAAGTGAATTATTTTGAGCTTTATCATCGGTGCTGTTTGAAAATCAACCTGACATTTTAAAGCCTGTGTGTTCATCAATAGTGTTTGTTGGTTCCTAATAATCAGATGGATTTACAGTTCCTCTGAAAGCTGGACGGACCACACCTCCACACAGCAGCTGACAATTATGGAGATCAGTACAGGACAGATAGTGTTGTCTTAGTTTTCTATAATGTTAGAACTGGTTTAGTTTTTGCATTATTGCTTTCCAACATCATTTATCATCAGGAATGTCTTGGCGTACACTCTCTCTATTTCACCATCATTGACCATGATTTTAACTTGACTATTGATTAACCAATCCTTAAATTCAATGAGAACTTGTAGTGTTTCTTCTAATGTCTACAGTACTTTCAGTTCCCTTTCCACTGTACTCAGAAGCTGTTCCCAACTTTTCCCGGAGCAGCAGAACTGTTCACACACAGTATATGATTTACACGTAGGATAAAGAGTTTAGGCCGAGCACTGAACCCTGTGGAACCCCAGCAAACCAACCCTGAACAGATCAGATTATGTCAGTCCATATAGATATCTGTCATCAAGGTCACTTCTTACCATGAGTGTGCTGTCCCTCTAATCCCGTGTTAATAAGCTGTGATCAATGGTATCCAGTGCTTTATAAATCTATAAACACAGCATGTCCCTTTTGGTCCATCGCAGATCTCTTCTACCAGTTCCATCTCTGAGCTCTTAAACCAAACAGATGATAAATAAACTCAGTTGTCTCTCCTGGGAAATAGACCTGTTTGGAACGACTGACTGCAGATTCAGTCCCCTCCAACAGTCTTGGAACGGTGAGGCCACTTCCTTCTTTTTTGTTGTTCACTAAAGACATTTGGGTTTAAGATCAAAAGATGAGACAAGAGTTCAGAATTTCAGCTTTTGTTTCCTGGTATTCACATCTGTGTTAAACAACATCATATCACCGTTTGTACAAGACCACAACATTCTTAGGTGAGCAAAAGTAAAGGAACAAATAATCTTAAAGTAAATAACATTTAATATTTCAAGTCAATTCAATTCAATTTTATTTATATTGCGCCAAATCACAACAACAGTTATCTCACAGCGCTTTTCATAAAAGAGCAGGTCTAGACCGTACTCTGTGATGCTATTTACAGAAGCCCAACAGTTCCCACCAAGAGCAGCACTAGGCGACAGAGGCAAGGAAAAACTTCCTTTAAGAGGCAGAAACCTCGAGCAGAACCATGACTCGGGGTGGGCGACCATCTGCCTCCACCGGTTGGGGGTGAAGGGGGGAGAGAGGGAGAGAGGGAGAGAGAGAGAGAGAGAGAGAGAGAGAGAGAGAGAGAGAAAGAGAGAGAGAGCAGGAGACGAATAGAGAGAAAAAGAGAGGGATGTAAGGAGAGAGAGAGAGGGAGGGAGGCAGCCTACACAATATCCACACAGAGGTACAGACAGTAAAGGTGATGTTGCTATAGACTAAATGAAAAATGGTACAGATATTTATAGTAGTGTTAATGATAACAGTCGTAATGTTAATGATTATAATAACAATAAGACTAGCAACAATAGTCGTTGCAGCAGAGGGTGTCGAGCAGGAACACGGAGGCAGCAGGTGACCCGCAACCAAAGATCCAGACTCCACAGCTCCAGAGCCAGAAAACCTGCAGGAAGTGATAGGAGGAGAGAGGAGAGAGACGAGAAAGCACAAGACTACCAGAAAGGGGAGAAGTTGTGTTAGTAACATGCAATAATGGGATGAGGTTGCATACAGAGGGAGAGAAAGTAGAGGAGAGAGGAGCTCAGTGCATCATGGGAAATCCCCCGGCAGTCTAGGCCTATAGCAGCATAACTAAGGGATGGTTCAGGACTCACCTGAGCCAGCCCTAACTATAAGCTTTATCAAAGAGGAAAGTCTTAAGCCTACTCTTAAATGTGGAGATGGTGTCTGCCTCCTGAACCCAAACTGGAACCTGGTTCCACAGGAGAGGAGCTTGATAGCTGAACGCTCTGGCTCCTAGTCTACTTTTGGAGACTCTAGGAACCACAAGTAACCCTGCATTCTGGGAGCGCAGTGCTCTGGTGGGGTAGTAAGGTACTATGAGCTCTTTAAGATAAGATGGTGCCTGACCATTAAGAGCTTTGTAGGTAAGAAGAATGATTTTAAATTCTATTCTGGATTTTACTGGAAGCCAATGCAAAGAAGCTAAAACAGGAGAAATATGATCTCTTTTCCTGGTTCCTGTCAGAACACGAGCTGCAGCATTCTGGATCAGCTGAAGAGTCTTAATGGACTTTTTCGAGCAGCCTGATAATAAGGAATTGCAGTAATCCAGCCTAGAAGTAACAAATGCATGGACTAGTTTTTCTGCATCATTTTTAGACAGGATGTTCCTGATTTTCGCAATATTACGTAGGTGAAAAAAGGCGGTCCTTGAAATTTGCTTAATGTGAGACTTAGGAAGGAAGGAAGTTTTTCCTTGCCTCTGTCGCCTAGTGCTGCTCTTGGTGGGAACTGTTGGGCTTCTGTAAATATCATCACAGAGTATGGTCTAGACCTGCTCTTTTATGAAAAGCGCTGTGAGATAACTGTTGTTGTGATTTGGCGCTATATAAATAAAATTGAATTGAATTGAATTGAATTGAACTTAAACGACATGTCCTGATCAAAGATAACTCCAAGATTCCTCACAGTGGTGCTGGATGCCAGGGCGATGCCATCAAGGGAAACTATATCTTTAGATAATGCGTCACGGAGGTGCTTAGGCCCCAGAACAATAACTTCAGTTTTATCTGAGTTTAACATTAGAAAATTACAGGTCATCCAGGTTTTAACATCCTGAAGGCACATTTGAAGTTTAGCTAACTGATGAGTTTCATCTGGTTTGATCGATAGATATAACGGAGTATCATCTGCATAACAGTGAAAGCTTATGGAATATTTCCTGATAATATTGCCTAAAGGAAGCATATATAAAGTGAAGAGGATTGGTCCGAGGACAGATCCTTGAAGAACTCCATGACTAACTTTGGTGTGCATGGTGGACTCATCATTAACATGTACAAACTGAAATCGATCTGATAAATAGGACTTAAACCAGCTTAGAGCGGTTCCTTTAATGCCAATGAAATGTTCCAGTCTCTGCAATAGGATCTGATGGTCAATGGTATCAAATGCAGCACTAAGATCTAATAAAACCAGTACAGAGACAAGTCCTTTGTCTGATGCAATAAGGAGGTCATTAGTAATTTCACCAGTGCTGTCTCTGTGCTATGATGAGCTCTAAATCCTGACTGAAAATCCTCAAATAAACTATTGCTCTGTAGAAAGTCACACAGCTGTTTAGCAACTGCTTTCTCCAGAACCTTAGAGAGAAATGGAAGGTTAGATATAGGTCTATAGTTGGCTAAAACATCCGGATCAAGTTTGGGCTTTTTCAGAAGAGGTTTAATTACAGCTACTTTAAAGTACTGTGGTACATAGCCTGTTGATAAAGATAGATTGATCATATCTATTTGGTGGCAGAACTCTCTCTTGCAATAAGTGCCTCAAGCCTGCGACCCATCGACATTACCAAACTGTTGCATTCTTCATTTGTGATGCTATTCCAGGCTTTTACCACAGCTTCTTTCAGTTCTTGTTTGTTTCAGGGTGTTTCTCTCTTCAGTCTCCTCTTAAGGAGGTGAAATGCAGCTCTATTGGGTTAAGGTCAGCTGATTGACTTGGTCAGTCTAAAACCTTCCACTATTTCCTCTGATGCAGTCCTTTGTTTTGTTGGCAGTGTGCTTTGGCTCATTGTCCTGCTGCATGATAAACTTCCTCCCCATTAGTTTCAATGCATTTCTCTGTAAATTGGCAGACAAAATGTTTCTGTCCACTTCTTCATTCTGCTGCGACCGTCATCAGTTCATCATCAATAAATATTACTGAGCCTGTTCCAGAAGCAGCCGTGACATCACCTCCAGCAGGCTTCACAGATGAGCTCGTACGCTTCAGATCATAAGCACTTCCTTTCTTTCTCCACACTTTGGCCTTTCATCACTTTGCTAGAGATTAATCTTGGTCTCATCAGTCCATCAGGCTTTTGTGGCTCATCTCTGTTCTTCTTTGTAAATTTCAGTCTGGCCTTCTGATTCTTGCTGCTGATGAGTGGTTTGCATCTTGTGGTGCGGCCTCTAGATTTCTGCTCTCTGAGTCTTCTTCCAGCAGTGGATTGTGACCTTCACCCTGCACTGTGGAGGTCGCTGCTGATGTTTTCTTCACAGCTCTCACCATATTTCCGCCATCAACTACTGTTGTTTTGCTTGGCCGACCTGTTGGACGTCTGTTGCTCAGTACACCAGTAGTTTCTTTCTTTTTCAGGACGTTCCACATTGTTGTGCCCAATGTTTGTCCGATGGCTCTGCTCGATTTTCCTTATTTTTTCAGCTTGACAGTGGTTTGCTTTTCTCCCATAAACAGCTCTCTGGTCTTCATGTTGGTTTATCCTCATTAACAGGAAATGCAGTCTTTATAGGTTTGAACCAAGGATGAAAACTTAGACTAGTCATGCAGAGATATTTAATGTTTGGACAATCAACCTAAAAGGCAACACCTGGGCAACAAGAAACATCTGTCAGTCACATGTTCCAATAGTTTTGCTCACTTGAAAAATGGGTGGCTTCAAACAAAGGGTGGTTTTGTCCTGAGTTGATTAACACATCTAGATGTGAATACCAGGAAATGAGAGCTGAGATTCTGAACTCTTGTCTTAAACCCAAATGTCTTCAGTGAACAACATAAACAAAGGAATTTGCCTTCCTGTTCAAAGACTTCTGGAGGGGACTGTATGTGTCAGTGTCTTTTACTATCAACATATAAATGTCAGTTCCATCAGTGGACAGTTTTAACAGGTTTTCATCCACACGTCCTCATTTCTCTCATTTTCTCCAACATTTACCAAATAATCATTGACTGCCGCTGCAGGTTCCTTTGTTTTATTACTAACTGAATTGTTCTCTTTTAAAAAGAAAGTAGGGTTGTCAGCCTTTTCTACTTTTAAATGCTCTCCGTGTTCCTGGAGTGTTACTGCGATGCTGTCTGTGATGATGCTGCTTCAGATCTCATTATATTTATTTTTACATTTGTTTTCTGCTTCTTCTGGTAACAACACGGACACTGGCCGAGCACGTAGACATGCCTTAAGGCTGCGGACTGGATCCAGTCTGTGGCCAGCTCCATGACGTCTGCAGCGTTGACTTAGGAGAGGATGAAGAAGGAGCGTTGTGGTTGGAAGGCGGATGTAGTTTCAGTGATGAAGGTGTGGAGGGGTAGGACACCCACAACAGCATATAGACTGCACCAAACTTGGCTTTGTAGAGCCTCAAGCTGCTGCCTGGTGGACTTCAGTGGAAAACCACACAGTCCAGGTTTTAACAGTAGCCAGAAAATCTAGGCCAGAAGAACTTTTTTGTTATGGGACACCGGCGGACCCGGAGCATAGTGAGCCAGCGTCACGTCACCCAGCTGCTGTAGAAAGGTTTTTAAGTTCCTCTAAAGCCCTGGATATACTTGATTTTAGCTAGTCCGCCATTACCGAGATTGTTATGATGTCTCATTAAATCACAACCTGCCCAAAAGTTTCCATGTTTGGTTTGTTTACGATGCAAAAAGGTTGTCAAAGAAGATAATCCGGTGTCGGCGAGGGATGATCTGGTCCTGGTCTGCCCCCTAGTGGATTCAGGTGTAATCCTCCAGGAAAAACGCAAAGTACGCAGGCAACGTGTCGCCGACGCCTGTCTACGCCTACGCATTGTTAAAAAGCAAGTATATCCTGTGGGAACTTTTGACGTAGTCTAAGAGGAGGGACAAGGCTTCTGAATAAGATGACGAGATGATTAGAGTCAGCCATGTCCAGGCTCTGCAGGTCAAAGCTGGCAGTGCCTGTAGAGCAGACCAGATCTGATGTGGGACTTTGGACATTTGATTAAAGACTCCATTAAAGATAGGAAGCACTTCCCCCCTGGTGTTTTCCCGCCTGTGTGACTGGCTGCCCCGCCTTGATTGGTTTCACCTGTCTTGTGAAATCACCTGGCTGGTGTGTAAATACTGTCAGTATGTCTTTGTCATTGGGGGGTTCGTCCTCAACCTTAGTGTTCCAACTCCTTCCTTGTGCTTCCCTGTGTTTTCTACAGTATTCTACCTTTGTTATTTTCTTCTCTAGGATATTCTGGATTTGCCTTTTGTGTTTGGATGTTTGCCTGGCTTTGGGCCCTGCATGCTTCACCTTGCTGTAGTCTTTTAGACCTGAACCTGCTCGGCTTCTGTGTCTGCGTCTGGGTCCACTTCCCTGTGTTTCCCAGCTTGAACTAACGTTGACACGTTGTTTCTGTGGTTTGGATGTCTTGCCGCTAAACTCTTGTTTTCCTCCTCTGCAGCCTGCGAGAGGAGCAACGCTGCGATGGTGGCGGCTTTGTTGAACCACGGTGCAGAGGTGAACACTCACTGTATCCAAGGTTGGACCGCCCTGCAGGAAGCAGTGTGTCGAAACAATGTGGAGATTTGTGAGATGCTGCTGAAGGCCGGGGCCAAACACAACCTCACCAACATGTACGGCATTGCACCGCTGTTCACCGCAGCTCAGAGCGGGCAGGTCGCCACGCTGCGCTTCCTGCTCAAACACGGTACATGAAGGGGATGCTTTATCTTAGTGTGCTGCTGCTAACTGCTAACTCCAAACTACTTCTGCTAACTGCTACTGCTACTGCTACTTCCAAAATGCTTCTGCTAACTGCTGCTAACTGCTACTGCTGCTGCTAACTAAAAACTGCAAACTGCAAACTGCATTTGCTAACTGCTTCTACTAACTGCTGCTAACTGCTTCTGCTAACTGATGCTAACTGCTTCTGCTAACTGCTTCTGCTAACTGCTGCTAACTGCAAACTGCATTTGCTAACTGCTTCTACTAACTGCTGCTAACTGCTTCTGCTAACTGATGCTAACTGCTTCTGCTAACTGCTTCTGCTAACTGCTGCTAACTGCAAACTGCATTTGCTAACTGCTTCTACTAACTGCTGCTAACTGCTTCTGCTAACTGATGCTAACTGCTAACTGCTTCTGCTAACTGCTGCTAACTGCAAACTGCATTTGCTAACTGCTTCTGCTAACTGCTGCTAACTGCAAACTGCATTTGCTAACTGCTTCTGCTAACTGCTGCTAACTGCTTCTGTTAACTGCTGCTAACTGCAAACTGCATCTGCTAACTGCATCTGCTAACTGCTTCTGCTAACTGCTTCTGCTAACTGCTGCTAACTGCTGCTAACTGCTTCTGCTAACTGCTGCTAACTGCTTCTGCTAACTGCTGCTAACTGCTTCTGCTAACTGATGCTAACTGCTAACTGCTTTTGCTAACTGCTTCTACTAACTGCTGCTAACTGCTTCTGCTAACTGATGCTAACTGCTAACTGCTTCTGCTAACTGCTGCTAACTGCTTCTGCTAACTGATGCTAACTGCTAACTGCTTCTGCTAACTGATGCTAACTGCTAACTGCTTCTGCTAACTGCTTCTGCTAACTGCTGCTAACTGCAAACTGCATTTGCTAACTGCTTCTGCTAACTGCTTCTGCTAACTGCTGCTAACTGCAAACTGCATTTGCTAACTGCTTCTGCTAACTGCTGCTAACTGCAAACTGCATTTGCTAACTGCTTCTGCTAACTGCTTCTGCTAACTGCTTCTGCTAACTGCTTCTGCTAACTGCTGCTAACTGCTAACTGCTTCTGCTAACTGCTGCTAACTGCAAACTGCATTTGCTAACTGCTTCTACTAACTGCTGCTAACTGCTTCTGCTAACTGATGCTAACTGCTACTGCTTCTGCTAACTGCTACTCAGGAACATGTACAGCATCTTGCCGATCTTTACTGCAGCTTGCCGCCCTGCGTTTTCTCCTCAGACACCATACATGAGCTGAACCTCAAACTTTCCAAAGACGAACCCTAAACACTTAACCCTTTCTCAGGAATGAATATCTGTAGTGAGGTATGGTTTACATAAATTGACATAAAGAGCAACACATAATCATACGTACTACATTGGAATGTAAACAACCACATTATTTACCTGGTATCCTTTTCCCCTCTGATTCTTGGTATCAAGAAGAACTTTCCCGTCCGTAAATCCCATTGGACATGAGTTCAGCACATATGGAGTTACAGTTCAGTTAAATCAACTAAACTGAATTTTGGCTGCAAAACCTGCAGGAAGTCCGTGCAGTGCTTGCCACTGTAGCTGCAGTTGCCAGAGAGAGCGTAGATCCGTTCATTAGAAATAAGTAAACAAGGATGTAAACTAAATTTAGTCCCTGGTTGAAACTGGTAATGTTCCTGAGTTGCTCAAAAAGGTTCTTGTTCCCCTGAAAAAGATCGTGAAACGGTGATGTCACAGTGTACTGACACACCCTGGAGTACACTTCTACATCACCGTATTTAAAACTCTGCAGTCTAGCAACAACCGTACTAACTACTGCTATTGCTACATGCTAACTCCTTTCAGTGGTTTGGGCTAGCCGCTGGTCTGCAGGCTGAACAGGCTCCACCCACCATCCCACCATGTGCTTTTAGTTCAGTCTGTTACTGCTAATAACTGCTAATATCTGCGAATCTGTATGACACCTGGCTTTCTTTTACATTTTATAAAAACCACTGCCTGAGCGTGGTGGCATCTCCTCTTTGTTAAAATGCCCTTACAGAAGACGAGTGAGCTCTGATCGGAATCGTGAACCCTCACCCCTCCCTATCTCCCTGCAGGTGCAGACATTAACAGTCAGGCTGGAGATGGAGCAACCGCTCTGTATGAAGCTGCTAAAAATGGACATGAAGAAATCGTGGAGCTTCTACTCTCTCAGAACGCTGACGCCAACAAACCTGGAAAGACCGGGTTATTACCACTTCATATCGCTGCCCAGAGAGGAAGTGACACGTAGGCACACTGACCATTTTCTACCTTATTTTGGTAATAAATGAACCCCTGAGGTTGTCTCTCTTAGAGGAACTCAAGTTCACCAGACCGAAGCCAATGTTACGTTTGCTTCATGAGTTTCTGCAGCCTGTCATCACCACACACACGACTGTATGTTTGTTCAAGCAGCTAATTACAACCCATATTTACGTTTATTGTTAGCCACTGACCTCTAGTGGCCGTATGACAGTAGCAAAGAAGAAATGTCAGGTGACAAGAAGATCCATCTGGTCTAATTCCTGTGATGTTTCCTGTTTCCAGCACGGTCTCCATGTTGATCCCAGCCACCAGTAAGGCCAGAGTCCGGCGGACCGGCATCAGCCCACTCCACCTTGCTGCTGAGCGTAATCGTGACACTGTCCTGGAGACTCTGATTGAGGCGGGCTTCGATGTAAACGCTCAGCTGTCTGAAGAACGATCAAAGCTGTACGAGGACCGCCGCAGCACACCGCTCTACTTTGCTGTCATCAACAACAACATCGATGCGGTGCGCATGCTCCTGGCAGCTGGTGCTGACCCAAACCTGGATGTGTTCAGGCCGCTGATGGTGGCAGCGAGGCTGGGCTGCATCCAGACCGTGACCCTGCTGGTGGACCACGGAGCTGACATCAACGCTTGCATCCCCACACACCCCACCACCTTCCCTGCCATCTACATGTTCTCCATGAAGTACCTGCCCATGTTCAAGTACCTGCTGGACCATGGAGGCCATGCCCTGCCCTGCTTCGACTGTGTCTACGGCAGCCGAACCCATCCACCCCTCAAAACCACCCACCCAGAGAGGGACAACCTCCGCTACACTGACAGACGCCTGTCAGACACGCAGCAAATGAGTAGTGTTCAGGTGACCTGATCTGTTTTAAATGTTTAAATATACATCGATCAGCCATAACATTATGACCACCTGCTTTCTATCAGAACCAGCATCAGCTTCTTCAGCAGTTTGGCCTACAGTAGCTCGTCTGTTGGACCGGACCACACAGGCCAGCCTTCACTCCCCACGGGCATCAGTGAGCCTTGGCCGGTTCACAACTTTCCCTTCGTTGGATCACTTTTGATAGGTACTGACCCCTGCAGACCGGTTTCTGTTCACATGTTTTATATTTAGCTGACGCTTCTATCCAAAGCAAATTAGCATAGACATTAGAGGTCGCACACCTCTGGAGCAACTAGGGGTTCCATGTCTTCCTCAGGGACACATTGGTGCATGTGTCTCAGTGGGAACTGAACCCATGTCAATTAAACCTGGGTCTATGCTATAGGCAATGGATTCTGGAGATGGCGTGGTAGAGAGTTTGTGGCTCAGATCCTCACGCTGCCCATTTTACCTGCTTCTAAATCCTCAACTCTGAGGACACAATGTTCACCTGCTGCCTGATAGATCCCACCCACTGAAACTGAACTGTCAGTGGTCATGACGTTATGGCTGATCAAGCTACATGATGAGGTCATGCCAACTTTTAGTTAAACTTTTTTTTACTTTCAGAAAAACTTAAATGTGTAACAAAAAAATACAGACCACACCACACTTACTTGATTGACTGACAGTTCTGCAGTTGATTGACAGTTGATTGACAGTTCTGTGGTTGATTGACAGATCTGTAGTTGACTGACAGATCTGTAGTTGACTGACAGTTCTGTAGTTGACATTTGATTGACAGTTCTGTGGTTGATTGACAGATCTGTAGTTGACTGACAGTTCTGTAGTTGACTGACAGTTCTATAGTTGACATTTGATTGACAGTTCTGTGGATGATGGTTGATTGACAGTTCTGTGGTTGATTGACAGTTCTGTGAGATGATATCAGCCCCCAGCATCTGTCGGTGGGCTGGGCCAATCATTGACATCCTATTGGACTACGTTGGTCACGTGACTCTCTGCTCCAGACTCATGGAACACCTGGATAGTTACTCCGGCTGGAGCGCCATCAAGGACAAAGCAGGTGAGTCACATAAATTGAAAATTGATCAGGTGATCCTCCCAATAACCATGTCAGCCAATGACGGTGTTACCGGTTTGGCCCTTAGTGTCTCAGTGATTATACCAGTTTGTCCCTTAGAGTCCAATCCAAAGAAGGTTAAAATCAAGGGCAACTGGACTTGGTTGAAGGTACTGGAAGACGTTTCGTCCCTCATCCAAAGGACTTCTTCAGTTCTGACTGACTGCTAGGTAACTCAGCAGTTTAACCTCAGTGGGGTCGTTTGCCAGGATCGTCGATACTACTGGTTCGTTAGTGTTCCTGGCTGTTGTAACAACAGTCGTTATAGTTGTTAGGACAACCCGAGGCCGAGACTGAACGACCATCGTTGGTATCTTCACCTGAGGCCAATAGGTTACGTTTGTTGAATTTCCTGGGAAGTGATGAAAGGACAGCATTGTAAGTGGGGGATAAGTGGTGGCGTAACTCTGTTCAATGACGGCTTCCCGACCCTGGTGTAGATGGCTTCCTTGACACCTCTTTCAAACCATCCATCTTCTCTGTCTAAAATGTGCACCTGGTGGTCCTCAAACGAGTGACCTGAGGAGTTGGGAGATCCTGGAGAACGCGCAACACCAGCTACTGAATGAGAGAGTGAGACAGATAAATTTCACCATTGAAGCCCTGAACAAAGAGTTGGACAAAGTACAATTCAATTCGATTTTATTTATATAGCGCCAAATCACAACTACAGTTCTCATGGCGCTTTTCATAAAAAAGCAGGTCTAGACCGATATTTACAGAAGCCCAACAATTCCCACCAAGAGCAGCACTAGGCGACAGAGGCAAGGAAAAACTTCCTTTTAGGAGGCAGAAACCTCGAGCAGAACCATGGCTCAGGGTGGGCGGCCATCTGCCTCGACCGGTTTATACACCACAAACTAGAAACATATCTGCCCAGTACAGTACTGGAAAAGGTCATGGATTTCATCAAGAAAGCACAGCTATCTCAGCACAACAAGAGCAAAGAAAGACGGACCCGGAAATTCCAAAACCTACAGACCAGAGCCAGCAGCACTAACAAAACAGGAGAATTGTCTTGGAGGAGAAAGGACAACAACCCCACAACACATGAAACATATAACAGATGGGTGAAAAACTTGTCAGATAGGGAACTCACCCAACCAGAGAAAGACGTTCTGGCCAAAGGATTAAACTTTGCCATTACACCACAGCAACTACCTATAGTAGACCTCATCACAGCCACAGAATCGGCCATTAGGAAAAACAAATTAACAGAAACAGAAGCGGAACAGCTCGGACTAAAGGTATCTGCAGCCCTTTCTAATGCGAAGGCCCCCCCTTCCAACCTCACCATCCAAGAAAGGAAGGCTGTGACATCTCTGAGCAAGGATCTAAACATCACTATCCTACCTGCGGACAAAGGAAGATGCACGGTAGTACTTAACACAGCGGATTACCAGAACAAAGTCAACACACTACTAATGGACACAAACACATATGAGACACTGAGGCGAGACCCAACCAGCGGATACAAGAAAAAGGCCATAGAATGTCTACAACAGTTACAGAAGGACAACACCATCACCCGTGAACAATATTACCGTTTGTATCCTGGAGAAGCCATTCCATGCATTTATGGACTACCCAAGATACACAAAGAAGGAGCCCCACTCAGGCCGATTATCAGCAGCATTAACTCGGTCACCTACAACATTGCCAAACACATTTCCACCATCTTAGCTCCATTGGTGGGAAAAACACACCTCACCACATCCAAAACTCTATTGACTTTGTAAACAAAGTTCGAGGACTAAAACTGGATCCAGATGAAACCATGGTATCTTATGACGTGACTTCTTTCCTCACCATAGAGGCAGTAGAAACCGTCAGGAAACGGCTAACACAAGACAACACCCTGGACAACAGAACTAGCCTCAGCCCCGACCAGATCTGTAAATTACTCGACCTCTGTCTAAACACCACCATCAAGTTCACACGAGAAGACGTCCACAACAACAGTTTGGCCTTCCTGGACTGCGCTGTACACATTGAAGAGGACAGGAGCCTGCAGATTGGTGTTTACAGAAAACCCACACACACAGACCAATACCTACTGTACAGAACCACCTGAAGGGGGCACTTACAGCCTGTGGAGACCCTAAATGGACCTTTGTGAAAACAGCCACAAGATCCAAGAAGAACAAAACTACAGGGGAGGAAAAGAAGGTCAAACGCAACAACATTGTGATTCCATACGTGTCTGGAGTATCAGAGAAACTCAGGAGGATTTTCAACAAACACGACATCCCTGTGTTTTTTAAACCCAAGAACACACTAAGACAGATGCTGGTCCACCCCAAAGACCGCACACCCAAACACAAGAAAAGCAATCTAGTGTATGCGGTCCAATGCAGTGAGGAATGCACAGACCTCTATATTGGGGAGACTAAACAACCACGACACAAACGCATGGCTCAACACAGAAGGGCCAACTCCTCAGGTCAAGACTCTGCAGTCTACTTACATCTGAAGGACAGAGGACACAGGGTTGGCCGTTAATCGGAAGGTCACATGTCGAAGTGTCCTTGGGCAAGATACTGAACCCCGAACTGCCCCTGGTGACTGTGTGTGAATGTTAGTTTGAGCACTTAGGCTCAGTGTATGAATGTGTGTGACTGGTGAATGCAGATGTAGTGTAAAAGCGCTTTGAGTGGTCGAAAAGACTAGAAAGGTGCTATACAAATACACATTTTAGACAGAGAAGATGGATGGTTTGAAAGAGGTGTCAAGGAAGCATCTACACCAGGGTGGAGAAGCCGTCATTGAACAGGGGAGGGGGTCTACGCCACCACTTATCCCCCACTTACAATGCTGTCCTTTCATCACTTCCCAGGAAACTCAACAAACGTAACCTATTGGCCTCAGGTGAAGATACCAACGATGGTCGTTCAGTCTCGGCCTCAGGTGAAGATGCCAACGATGGTCGTTCAGTCTTGGCCACAGGTAGTCTTAACGACTGTAACGACTGTCGTCACAGCAACCGGGAACACTAACGAACCAGCGGTATCGATGACCCGGGATAACGACCCCACTGAGGTTAAATAGCTGAGTTTCCCTGCCAGTCAGTCAGAACTGAAGAAGTCCTTTGGATGAGGGACCCTTAGCGTCCCTGTGACGTTAATGGTTTGTCCCTTAGCGTCCCTGTGACGTTAATGGTTTGTCCCTTAGCGTCCCTGTGACGTTAATGGTTTGTCCCTTAGCGTCCCAGTGATGTTAATGGTTTGTCCCTTACTGTCCCTGTGATGTTAATGGTTTGTCCCTTAGCGTCCCAGTGACGTTAATGGTTTGTCCCTTAGCGTCCCTGTGACGTTAATGGTTTGTCCCTTACTGTCCCTGTGATGTTAATGGTTTGTCCCTTAGCGTCCCTGTGATGTTAATGGTTTGTCCCTTAGCGTCCCTGTGACATTAATGGTTTGTCCCTTACTGTCCCTGTGACGTTAATGGTTTGTCCCTTAGCGTCCCTGTGATGTTAATGGTTTGTCCCTTAGCGTCCCTGTGACGTTAATGGTTTGTCCCTTACTGTCCCTGTGACGTTAATGGTTTGTCCCTTACTGTCCCTGTGATGTTAATGGTTTGTCCCTTAGCGTCCCTGTGATGTTAATGGTTTGTCCCTTACTGTCCCTGTGATGTTAATGGTTTGTCCCTTAGCGTCCCTGTGATGTTACTGGTTTGTCCCTTACTGTCCCTGTGATGTTAATGGTTTGTCCCTTAGCGTCCCTGTGACGTTAATGGTTTGTCCCTTAGCGTCCCAGTGATGTTAATGGTTTGTCCCTTAGCGTACCTGTGACGTTAATGGTTTGTTCCTTACTGTCCCTGTGATGTTAATGGTTTGTCCCTTAGCGTCCCAGTGATGTTAATGGTTTGTCCCTTAGCGTCCCTGTGACGTTAATGGTTTGTCCCTTAGCGTCCCTGTGACGTTAATGGTTTGTCCCTTACTGTCCCTGTGATGTTAATGGTTTGTCCCTTAGCGTCCCTGTGATGTTACTGGTTTGTCCCTTACTGTCCCAGTGATGTTAATGGTTTGTCCCTTAGCGTCCCTGTGATGTTACTGGTTTGTCCCTTAGCGTCCCTGTGATGTTACTGGTTTGTCCCTTACTGTCCCTGTGACGTTAATGGTTTGTCCCTTACTGTCCCTGTGACGTTAATGGTTTGTCCCTTACTGTCCCTGTGATGTTACTGGTTTGTCCCTTAGCGTCCCTGTGATGTTACTGGTTTGTCCCTTAGCGTCCCTGTGATGTTACTGGTTTGTCCCTTACTGTCCCTGTGACGTTAATGGTTTGTCCCTTAGCGTCCCTGTGATGTTACTGGTTTGTCCCTTACTGTCCCTGTGATGTTAATGGTTTGTCCCTTAGCGTCCCTGTGATGTTACTGGTTTGTCCCTTACTGTCCCTGTGATGTTACTGGTTTGTCCCTTAGCGTCCCTGTGATGTTACTGGTTTGTCTTCCTGCCTTTCAGCTCCTCCGCGGCCGCTGCTGCAGCTCTGCAGGCTGCAGATCTTGCAGCTGGTTGGACATCGACGTGTGAAGAAGTTACCGCTGCCTGGAGGTCTGATCCGCTTCCTGAAACACCAGGAGGGGTCTGTGGAGGACTGCTGAACCCAACCTGATCATTCTGCAGTTCACAGAGGGGGTATTGATCAGTATTGACAGCTGTCTGTTGCTGAGGCGGCAGACGGGATGAAACATGACTCTACATCTTGTGTCTTCTTCTCTCTCCCGGCATCAGTCTGTGTTGTTGTTGTCCGGTGAATCCAGGATCTTTATAACCCATCCCAGAGCTAATGGATAAAGCTCCTCCTAAACACCTTCTGAATTTTACTTAAAACTTTTGGCTGAAAGTGAATTTAATGAGCTTTATTAATATTAAACTATACATGTTTGAAATGCAATGAATAGCATGCAGTCTAAACAGCCCAGGAGCTGCCTGGAAACCACCTGGAACATCATAAGAACTGCTTCTCAGCCTGTTGGAAAGATCCCAGCAGCCTGTTCCTGAACACCTGGCAGGACTCACCTGAGGCTTCAGCTGCTCAGCTCATGTGAGCAGACAGCAGGAGGGACCTGACCCACTTCCTGGAACATCTTGGTCCTCATAATAACACTTCTTGTTTCTTTCTTAGTGTAAGAATTAAATAGTATAATTGTGAAAGAAGTGAATTGAAATGATTAGAAGCTTTCTTACTTCAGACCTTTTCCACTTTATTCTCTTTGACATGAGTTGTGACGCTGTGTTGGCTCCTTGTGGACGTTTTCTAGGAGTGTGTTGTGTTATATTCTGGTTCATTACTGATCTTTCAGTTATTCTGTTATTCACACGCTGCTCACTTCACTTGAACAAGTCTTCACCCTAAAATGAAATGATTTCTGTTGCGAGGAGTCAGAGCAGTCCCCACAGTGTCTTTGGGAAATGGACTGTTTAGTTCCTTTCTAGTCTTTTGACCGCTCAGTTTACACCTAATGTCACACACACATTCACCCGTTTACACACATTCATTCACCCGTTTACACACATTCATTCACCCGTTCGCACACATTCATTCACCCGTTCGCACACATTCATTCACCCTACAACATTTTATTAATCAGATCTGAAAGGTGATGTTGCGTGTTTATGTCTCATTTTAATTGACCCGTCTGACAGATTAACTTTGAGCCTGTGGTCACTGCTCCTCTTTGATTGATTAATGATTTGATCATTAATCAAACACGATTGGTTACCTTCCACATCAAAGAGAGAGAGAGAAAAAAAGAGAGTTCCTGTCATAATAATATCTGTCTTTAAACAGATTCTAACTAAGAAAGAAAATGAAGTGTGGTGTATAACATATGTGCATCTGGCCATTACAGTTTAACATAATGCTCTGCAGCTGGTGAGAGGGACAGTGAACCCTTATGGGGAAGTAATGATTGATGGGTGTACCAAGAGTGAACCCTCCTATAGAACTTGACCCCTGACCCAGAGCTGGAGAGAGACACAGTGGACCCAGTGTTAGGGGAAGTGATGATTGATGGGTGCAGTGTTAGGGGAAGTAGAGATTAGTGTGTATGAAGGGACTGTACCCTTCTGTGGTGTCTAACAGATGGTTACACTTATTCTACAGCACTGTGCCCTTATATGGTTTTTAGCAGAGACCTAAACATGTCCTATATAAGCTGTGTTCGATGTACAGAGAGACAGAGTGGTCATCGGGCTGGGTCACTCTCCAAGCTGCTGCAGAGCTTGTAATTGATGCTGAATTCTTTGATGTAATAAACTTTTATAACCAAGAACAGTGTCAAGCGGATTTCTTCTCAACACATCATCGCAGCATTATCGTTCGGACACCACAGAAGCATTCGTTGTTAATCCATTTCTTTTACTGCTTCCACTGATCTGATACCAGCCACACAGCCACCTTCTTCTGGATCAGCTGGTTTTAAGTAAACATTTCTGTAAATTTGGCAGTGTTTTCGCTGCAGTCTAATACCAATGAAGACAGTGAACATATCGTACAAAGCAACAGGAACAACCAAAAAATTGTGAAAGTCCCAAAACAAAGAGGAAGTGAAAGGAAAGGGGTGCGTGCTGTTAATAAAATAAACTGTCCAGTAGACTTCCAGTGATGGACCAACATTTCCTCTCATGGAAAATGCCCAGCTTTAAAATAAAACCTAATATAATTGAATAAACATTTGTAAAAGAATGTTTTAACAACATTAGACTGAAAACAAGATGGCAAGAATACTCTCCCACATCCTTCAAAATAAAACTCTGTCTTTAAATAAGTGGTATTCAGCTTTTTAGCTTTCCCCTCTCCTTTATTGAGTTATATCCTTTTTTGTGCTGTAACAGATTTGCAAAGTGAAAAAGCCCAAAGGGAGTTCCCATCTCCCACAGAAAACTCTGCTCTGAACTGAAAACAGCTCGTTTGGAGTCCAGCCGCTTCCCTTGAGGCTAAACGCGCCTCATATAACGCTCGCCGAGCGGCTACTCCGACACGCCCTCAGAAACAGCGAGCTGCAGCACACAGCTCTCCTCTCCCTTCCAAACACTAGCTGCCCTCCAGGCAGTGGACAGAAAGTTGTTCCTGTGATGTAGAGACAGAGCTCAGTTAAAACTTTATGGATACAGATTAATAACTCACCGCTCTGAAACTCTCGCTCCAGTCCGGAACCCGAGCCGTTTACCGGCTTCTCGCTGACCCGCCCTTCTCTGCTTCTGATTGGCTAGTAGTCCTTAACTAGGAACTGAGCATGTGCAACTCCCAACAAAGATCATGTAGAGACAAGATGTATCACTCCATAGCTAAAACGAAGCCTTCAACACAGGCTGAAAAGAGGAGCTGCAGCAATGTGCAGTAGGACAAAAATATAACCATGGAAACCTGCTCTGGTACAACCTCTAAATAAGATGAGGAACATGAGCAGAACACCACCTCTTTAAAGCTATAGAGAAGTCCACAGCAACACCAGCCTTTCCATAAAGCAGGGTAACTTAAATAACACACATCAGCCAGAAGGATGTCCTCTGTTCACCAGTAACAGTGATCTTAATAAATGTTGGGAGAACATGTGGACGCGTTGGGCTGGAAATACTCTTTTGTTTGGTTTGATAGTTCAGTAGAGGTGAAGTTCCTGTTCAGAAGTGAAGATTTGTTTGAAATGTTGAATGAAAATCTTCCACTGATGGTTTCGTCCTGTGGTCGGACAAAACGATTCAAACAGTTCATTAAAGGTCCTGAATGACAAACCGCTGAGTTGACTGCTTTACCTCATTTACACAGTATCAATACAACACCTGTAGAGTAGGAGTACACTATAGTATATTATAGTATGAGTGTAGTCAGTGCAGTACAGTATAGTACAGTATAGTGTGAGTATAGTCAGTACAGTACAGTATAGTACAGTATAGTACAGTATAGTGTGAGTATAGTCAGTATAGTACAGTATAGTACAGTATAGTACAGTATAGTGTGAGTATAGTACAGTATAGTACAGTATAGTACAGTATAGTATGAGTATAGTCAGTACAGTACAGTATAGTACAGTATAGTACAGTATAGTATGAGTATAGTCAGTGCAGTACAGTATAGTACAGTATAGTACAGTATAGTGTGAGTATAGTCAGTATAGTACAGTATAGTACAGTATAGTGTGAGTATAGTCAGTATAGTACAGTATAGTACAGTATAGTACAGTATAGTGTGAGTATAGTCAGTATAGTACAGTATAGTACAGTATAGTACAGTACAGTACAGTATGAGTATAGTCAGTGCAGTACAGTATAGTACAGTATAGTACAGTACAGTATGAGTATAGTCAGTGCAGTACAGTATAGTACAGTATAGTACAGTATAGTACAGTATAGTGTGAGTATAGTCAGTATAGTACAGTATAGTACAGTATAGTGTGAGTATAGTCAGTATAGTACAGTACAGTACAGTATAGTACAGTATAGTGTGAGTATAGTCAGTATAGTACAGTATAGTACAGTATAGTACAGTACAGTACAGTATAGTACAGTATAGTGTGAGTATAGTCAGTATAGTACAGTATAGTACAGTATAGTACAGTACAGTACAGTATGAGTATAGTCAGTGCAGTACAGTATAGTACAGTATAGTACAGTACAGTATGAGTATAGTCAGTGCAGTACAGTATAGTGCAGTATAGTACAGTATAGTACAGTATAGTGTGAGTATAGTCAGTATAGTACAGTATAGTACAGTATAGTGTGAGTATAGTCAGTATAGTACAGTACAGTACAGTATAGTACAGTATAGTGTGAGTATAGTCAGTATAGTACAGTATAGTACAGTATAGTACAGTATAGTGTGAGTATAGTCAGTGTAGTACAGTATAGTACAGTATAGTACAGTATAGTGTGAGTATAGTCAGTATAGTACAGTATAGTACAGTATAGTACAGTACAGTACAGTATGAGTATAGTCAGTGCAGTACAGTACAGTATAGTACAGTATAGTACAGTATGACTATAGTCAGTAAAGTACAGTATAGTATGAGTTTAGTCAGTACAGTACAGTATAGTACAGTATAGTATGACTATAGTCAGTATAGTACAGTATAGTACAGTATAGTATGAGTATAGTCAGTGCAGTACAGTATAGTACAGTATAGTATGACTATAGTCAGTACAGTACAGTATAGTACAGTATAGTATGACTGTAGTCAGTACAGTACAGTATGAGTTTCGTTAGTGCAGTACAGTATAGTACAGTATAGTACAGTATTGTATGAGTATAGTTAGTGCAGTACAGTGTAGTACAGTATTGTATGAGTATAGTTAGTGCAGTACAGTGAAGCATGAGTATAGTTAGTGCAGTACAGTATAGTATGAGTATAGTTAGTGCAGTACAGTATAGTATGAGTATAGTTAATGTAGTACAGTAAAGTATGAGTTTAGTTAGTGCAGTACAGTATAGTATGAGTATAGTTAGTGCAGTACAGTAAAGTATGAGTTTCGTTAGTGCAGTACAGTATAGTATGAGTATAGTTAGTGCAGTACAGTAAAGCATGAGTATAGTTAGTGCAGTACAGTATAGTACAGTATAGTTAATGTAGTACAGTAAAGTATGAGTTTAGTTAGTGCAGTACAGTATAGTATGAGTATAGTTAGTGCAGTACAGTAAAGTATGAGTTTCGTTAGTGCAGTACAGTATAGTATGAGTATAGTTAGTGCAGTACAGTAAAGCATGAGTATAGTTAGTGCAGTACAGTATAGTACAGTATAGTATGAGTATAGTTAGTGCAGTACAGTATAGTATGAGTATAGTTAGTGCAGTACAGTATAGTACAGTATTGTATGAGTATAGTTAGTGCAGTACAGTAAAGCATGAGTATAGTTAGTGCAGTACAGTATAGTACAGTATAGTATGAGTATAGTTAGTGCAGTACAGTATAGTACAGTATTGTATGAGTATAGTTAGTGCAGTACAGTAAAGCATGAGTATAGTTAGTGCAGTACAGTATAGTACAGTATAGTATGAGTATAGTTAGTGCAGTACAGTATAGTACAGTATTGTATGAGTATAGTTAGTGCAGTACAGTAAAGCATGAGTATAGTTAGTGCAGTACAGTATAGTACAGTATAGTATGAGTATAGTTAGTGCAGTACAGTATAGTACAGTATTGTATGAGTATAGTTAGTGCAGTACAGTAAAGCATGAGTATAGTTAGTGCAGTACAGTATAGTACAGTATAGTATGAGTATAGTTAGTGCAGTACAGTATAGTACAGTATAGTATGAGTATAGTTAGTACAGTACAGTATAGTATGAGTTTCGTTAGTGCAGTACAGTATAGTATGAGTATAGTTAGTGCAGTACAGTATAGTACAGTATTGTATGAGTATAGTTAGTGCAGTACAGTAAAGCATGAGTATAGTTAGTGCAGTACAGTATAGTACAGTATAGTATGAGTATAGTTAGTACAGTACAGTATAGTATGAGTATAGTTAGTGCAGTACAGTATAGTATGAGTTTATTCAGTGCAGTACAGTATAGTATGAATATAGTTAGTGCAGTACAGTATAGTATGAGTATAGTCAGTGCAGTACAGTATAGTACAGTATAGTATGACTATAGTCATTACAGTACAGTATAGTATGAGTATAGTCAGTGCAGTACAGTATAGTACAGTATAGTATGACTATAGTCAGTACAGTACAGTATAGTATGAGTATAGTCAGTACAGTACAGTATAGTACAGTATAGTATGACTGTAGTCAGTACAGTACAGTATGAGTTTCGTTAGTGCAGTACAGTATAGTACAGTATAGTACAGTATTGTATGAGTATAGTTAGTGCAGTACAGTGTAGTACAGTATTGTATGAGTATAGTTAGTGCAGTACAGTGAAGCATGAGTATAGTTAGTGCAGTACAGTATTGTATGA